AGTGGTGGCCAAAATTAAGGACACTTTTGGAAATTTTTATGTTTTTGAACTTTGTATGCTTATAGAAAACGTTACGTTTCACAAAATGCAAACTTGTATGTACATTTTAAATAGAATTATACTATTCAACACAAACACTAAATTCAATTATTTGCAATACAAAAAAAAATTAAACGATAATAGTTATCGATATACATTAGATAGTGATGATTGCAGTGAGTTATCAGTACTTAGTAGGGTACCCTTTATTTTTAATTACAGCTTCACGTCGATGTTTCATTGAGCTGACAAGAGTTTTAAGCTCTTCTTTCATTATTACATGATGCCAGGAAACAATTATAGCCTCAATTAGTTCTCTTTTATTTGATGGGTGCCTCATTCGGACAAGAGTTTTCAAACGGTGCCACAAATTTTTGATAGATTGAGGTCAGGACTGTTTCCTGGCCATGACAACAATTTTAATGCTCTTTGTACGAAACCACTCTTTCGATATTTTGGCCATGTGGCCAAGGAGCAGAATCCTGCTGAAAAATAAACGAAGCATTGTTGGGAAAGAGATCTCTGATGGAAGATAGAAGTTTTGGTCCTAGAATGTGTCAATGTATTTTCTGGCATTCAGTGTCCCATCGATGACATGAAGGCAACCAATACCATCTCTGACATGCATGACCAAATCATAACACTAACTGGGTTTCTTCACAGTTGCTTGAATGCAGTCAGGATGTAGCTCTTCTCTATTCACATCTTACATATTTTCGCCATCACTACCGAAAACGATATCTTAGTTTCATCACTCCATATAACTTGTGACCACTGATCATCTGTCCAATTAATGTGTTCCTTTGCCCACTGTAGTCTTTTTTTTTTTTTTTTTTTTCGTTGCTGAAAATTGAGATAAGGCTTTTTTCGTGGAATTCTACCTCTCAGTCCAATATCTGTTAATCTTCTCCTGATGGTTCTTGAACTGACAGCATCATTCAGATCACTTCTGATGGCCGCTGATGACATTTTTCTATCTTGTAGGCATAGTCTTTTTATTCTTCTGTCATCAGTAGATGTGGTGCACCTTTTTTAGCCTTTTTCTTCTTTGTTTTTTATTGAATTTGTCTCCTGATATCGTAAACAAAACTTTCGGACTCCAGATGTAGTCACTGAACCACCCACCTCTCTTGCAATTTCAGCATAGGAAAGACCACTTTCTCGTAACACAATAATATTACATCTCTTTCTAGTCTCCAATCTACTCTTTTATTTGATGTCATTGCTCCTTGACGAAATATTAAAAATTTTTTACAGAAATTCCTACTTGTAATTGCAGTGTATAAGAAACAGATTCTCCTTCTACAGAACAAAGCAAAATAATAAATTGTTTCAAGTGTAAACATGATGTCAGCTTCTATTGGCAGTTACTAACATTTGATTGGTTCTCAGAACAAGAACAGTGATTGGCTAGGAAAGCTAGGCATTACAAACCACTTCATAACTGTGCTTTTTATTTATATTAAAGTACATATAACTTTTTTTGTATTGCAAATAATTGAATTTTGTGTTTTGTATTGAATTCAGTAATAAATTCTCTTTAAAATGATATATACAAGTTTGCATTTTGCGAAACATAACATTTTCTATAAGCATACAAAGTTCAAAAACATAAAAATTTCCAAAAGTGTCCACAATTTTGGCCACCACTGTATATGTGTAATATATATATACACACAGTACAAAGTCCGTAATCCGGACTCGTTGAGACTTTGGCAATTCCGGATTAGGGGTTTTTCCGGATTATAGATCATCAATTTAAATCTGGTAAGATGGCATGCAGAAATTATACTATTAAAAATATGAAACCGTTATTTATGAAATAAAAAGCAATTATTATCTAAAGGGTATCAAATTTTACAAAAAAAAAAGCTTAATATTTATTTGTTTACTTCATTAAACATTCATAAACATAAACTCAATGCGCGCGTAATGAATGCGCATTCTCTATGCATAAAGTTTGTGGCTTTAAGGTCCGATTATAGATCATTCCAGATAATGGATGTCCAGATTACAGACTTTGTACTGTATATAACACACATACATATATATAATATATAAGAAAGGTCATAATAGTAAAAAACTACACTCAAAGAAAAAGAAAGGACTAACCTGCACTGAAACTGCAAGTATCAATTTCAGAGTAAAGTGAAAAGGTGGGGAGAAAATTCATTTAATGCCAAAAGCAAAGGTAAACCTAAGATCCTATCTATGTGAATTTGGTAAAATCACCAAATTACATCTATTGAATGGGAAATAATTAATATATTGTTGCGTGTGTACGGATTCGTGATAGAGTAAATTAACAAGTCTGATAAAAAGTTAATAAAATTTATTCTTATCATAAGAAATAAATCAAAATGCTGAAATTTTCCTCACAGATACTCATGCAATATCACACAGTAGTCATATTTTAAACTACAAAAACGTTAAATAGAACACAATTCAAAAACACAGAGAAAGCTAATCCAATCTCACCCTGAATTCACTACAGTAAACATTAGCAGTGATCTAAACAACTCATCATTTTGGCCATGCAAGCGAACATAATGGTACTTTCTCAAAATTTCTGGAAAGCAAAAGAGTTCAATTACGAGATATATATTTATTAAATATAAAATGTGCTTGCTCCTATATTTTTACTTATTCAGCACAGCTTTCTCTTAAAACTCATTGCACAGGGAAATAAAACAATTTTTCTTCTAAAAATAATTAAATAAATACATAAACCGTGACAATATATATATACTGGGTGGCCATAATTAAGCTGACAGTGCTCACAGTGTTCTTTAGCGCGTTCTATTTGCGAGAATGATGCCACATTTTATAGGAAGATTAAAAACAAGACGGGGGACGAAGGATTCCGCGAAAAAACAAATTAGTTCTAAAAGTCACCGCTAGGAGAATATTTGGCGCTGTGTAATAGAAAATAGAGTGTTAACAAATGCAAATTAATATGGAATAAAATTACCTTTTATTATGCACATTTTCTGACTTAGTTCAAGTGCAATATGGCAACACTTTTAAAAAAACGTAAAATCTACATAAACACCGATAAAGTCTCGTGATCTGCAATTTAATATCACGTACGCTGAGCAGAAGAAGTTCTTTATTCAAACTTCACGTTACATCCATTCGCACAGTGCTAGCTGCTTGGATTTTCAAAAGGCAATGTGTTACGTTTCAAATCAATCGGATTGAAAGTTTATGGTGCAATGTTCTCCTTCTTTAGTTCGAGCGTGCGTTACTGGTCAAATTCTTTTACCTGAACCAGTCCAACGTGTCAGCCGCTCTTCGTGCTTTTAAGAACTCGCCAAAAAATGCGTAAAGGTGAACGGCCCTGTGACAGTTAATTGGCTAAAAGCATGGATTGCGATGTTAGAGAAAACAGGTTCTCTGAAGGTTCAGTCAGGCAGAGGACGAAATATTGTACCACAGGATACAATCGAAGCAGCTGCCACGGACGATTGTCGACAGAGGACCAAACAATATTGCTGCCACCTCTAGCGCTCGTGGAGTAGCTCGGAATATGGATATGCCTTATGGAATATGAACAGCCTTACAGTACGTATGGAAAATCTTACGAAAGATTATCAACTTCTATCTGTACAAGATCAGCTGTGTACAGGAGTTACTGTACCCCGACCATGATAAGCGATTGACTTGCTCTCATCTTTCTTACAAGAATGGAGGTGGATGATGCTTGGCTGTGGAAAATCTTATGGAGAGACAAGGCCCACTTTTACCTGAATGGAACTGTGAAAACCCAGAACTGCCGAATTTGGGATGACAAATCACCACATGCAGTCACAGCAATTCCCTTACATTCACCAAAGGTAACTGTTTGGTGTGGGTTCACAGCAGAATTTACCGTAGGTCCATTCTTCTATGAGAACATTACCCCCGACAGGACTGGAAACCTGTTCTGTTAACGAGAGAATTATCACCACATGTTGAACAGCTTTGTCATTCCGGCACTTCAGCAAAGACAATGCCTGGGAGGAAATCATTTTTATGCAAAGATGGAGTCCCTTCCACACGTTGCTGTACGGGTGCAACAGATGATACGACAGAAATTCAAAACAGAAAGAGACATTAAGCCGCTACTTTGCAACTACATGACCACCTCAGTCGCCTGATCTTGCCCCATGCGACTTCTGGCTATGGGGTTGACCTTCAAGTCTATCAAGGTCTATCAAGGAAGTGGTCCAGGACCATGGACTACGTTGAAGGATAACATATCACGGACTATATGGGAGATTCCTGCAGACATGTTACTTTCTGCTGTTGTGCATACTATGCACAGAATGCAATATGTGGTTCACAACAACAGCAGCCACATTGAACCTCATTTGAATGCAAAATAAAAGATAATTTCCATATTGATTTGCATTTGTTAATAGTCTATTTTCTATTGCACAGTGCCAAATATTCCTCTAGCTGTGACTTTTGGAACTAATTTTTTTTTTTCGCGGAATCCTTCGTCCCCCATTTTGTTTAATCTTCCTACAAAATGTGGCGTAATTCTTGCAAATAGATCGCGCTACAAAACACTGTGAGTACTCTCAGTTTAATTATGGCCACCCGGTATATATGTGTGTGTGTGTGTAATTTTTTCCTTTAATAGATTAATTAGTATATTATCTCGTTTGATAAAAGTAGTTAGAATTCTATTGAAATAAAGTAACTCATTAACATATTTAAAAATTGGATCTTGAATAAATTTAAAATGGAAACATAGAAAATTAATGTTATTTGTAATAGAAACAACTTAGAAGTAATGAACAGCAGGAATTTCATGTCATAGAATGCTGAACTGCACATCCACAATGAACAGAAAACTGGCAGCCAGGGCAAATAAAATCTCTTTTTTTATTTCAGCAAATATGTTGCAGCCACAAACAATTTGGCCCATTATTTGTGCCTATTTTAAGAGGTTTACATTTTTGATAACTTTGCAGTAAGAAGGAAGCAGCAGACAGCTGTCCAGCTATGCCGAAGAGCAGCAAGCAATTGTTCAGGGTAAAATCTTAATTCAGGCTGAATTAGTTTAGGTTTTTAATGCATTTTGATTAGATAATTCATGCTGCTGTAAAATTATTATTGGCTGTTCAAGTTTTAGTTCCATTTACATCATCAGAATTAGTAAAAAAATTTATCGTAAAAATCATATGACATGGATTAGTCTTGAAATGACACAGTGCAAATAAAGCCTCATAATTTGATAAGAAATATGTAATTTATTAAATTTATAACTCATTTATTTGCCATTGTGATTTTTAAATCTGTCTATTCTAAATAAAAATTTTGATCTAATGAAGTGAGGTACCCACTCCTGTTATAGGAAGTTTAACAGTGTGAATAAGAAGAATCAATAATAGAATAGCGATTAACAATAAAACAGAAGTTTAACATTTAAAAAACGGTATTTTTACTACAGTCAAAAGTCGTTAATTCGGACACCCATAATCCGGACCTCAAAGCTACAACCTTTCTGCGCATGCGTAGCGTTGACACATGCGCGTAAGACCTTTACCGCTGCGAATTTGCGCGTGCGCAAAATACGTTTACGAATGCGCATTTAATGTATAACGGATGGGATAAGCTAAGCTAAAATTATCTAATTATCTATTTCAGTTAATGTTGCAGATTGCGTTGTTCCTTAATCTTCGAATTGGATCCGGATTATTATTTTTTGCAGACTGTTAGAGCAATTTTATAAAGTAAGCTGAACTTTGGATTATGTCAAATAGAATTTTCGATATATATTTACTAATATGTAAAGGATATACAAAGCGAAAGTATATTTCGGAGTCCATTACACAAAAAGTGGAATTGCTGCAAAAAATGGATAAAGGCATATATTTTGTTTATCTAAACTTTAACGCTTGTTTATCTAAACTTTAACATTTGTTTATCTAAACTTTGTTTATCTTTAACACGGCGTGCTATGAATTCACTATTCTTATCTTTAAGGGCAGATGTTTTTATTTTATTTGGCTTATAATTGCTTACTCTATGTAGTATTTCATCTCGAGTACTCCATCTTTGATATGATTTAAATCAAATGCCTCGTCATTATTATTCGCTTCCGATAGCGAGAAAGTGACAGAGGTTATTGAAAACGAAAAAATTTCGATTGACAAATTAGTCGGTTATCTCGACACAGGCAATTATAGGATGTGAACAGCGGAACTTTGTAACTGAACAAGAAATGTCTGTTTATAGAATTAAAGAGAATGTATTATCACATAAAAAACGAATCAACTTAAACAACTTACATTGAAAGAAATGTTTAATAAAGTAAACAAATAAATATTAAGCTTTTTTTTTTTTTTTTTGTAAATTTTGATACCCTTTAGATCATAATTGTTCTTTATTTCGTAAATTACGGTTTCATATTTTTAATTTTATAATTTCTGCATGCCATTTTACCAGGTTTAAACTGGTGATCTATAATCCGGAAAAATCGATAATCCGGAATCGCCGAAGTCCCGACAAGTCCAGATTAACGACTTTTGACTGTATATCTTTTGTTCATGCATCACATTCATAATTTTGAAAAATAGCAAAACATTGCTGTTTTTCATAGGTTTTTTTTATAATTACAAAACTTAGTCCTATTAAAATGTAATTGTCCTTAATGATGGGACGTGAGAAACATGATAAAAGTTTAAAAACCTGGCATTTCAAATTATTTATTGTTTGTGCAAAAAGGTCAAAAAACACAATTTTTTGTGAAAATATTTTGTAATTCCTGATAATTTTATTTTTAGTAGACAGTTAGTAAATATATTTATCATTTCGACTGTGCGTAATGTATGCTTTATGCATGTGCACGTTGAAAGAAATGTTTAATAAAGTAAACAAAGAAATAATAAGCTTTTTTTTTGTAAATTTTGATACCCTTTAGATCATAATTGTTCTTTATTTCGTAAATTACGGTTTTATATTTTAATTTTATAATTTCTGCATGCCATTTTACCAGATTTAAACTGATGATCTATAATCCGGAAAAATCGATAATCCGGAATCGCCGAAGTCCCGACGAGTCCGGATTAACGACTTTTGACTGTATAACACACCATCACAATTTCCTGGAGCCTTATAATAAAAGTAATGCCTTTTTGAATAAACTTCAAAGTAATTCATTAATAACTTGTTTACTTGACTAAACAAAATTCAGATTTAAAGAAAATTTTGCTCTTTGTAATAGATGGAGGTCATAATGACCATCACAGTAATATTTTTTAATTTACATATTGTTTTAAACTTTTGTGTCAAAAATTATTTTTATCTTTCCCATACTATCATTTTATGGAAAAATGTAAAATAATAACTATTAATACATGTAAATTCTGTATTATTTCATGCTATTTTCTTCACTTAATCACAATTTTTTTGCAGTTGGTAGGTCGAAATCTTCGTAAAGGTAGAGATCATTTGATGTGGGTTCTTCTACAGTTTATATCTGGAAGCATACAAAAAAATCATGTAAATATATTGGATTTTGTGACCTCTTAAGAAAATATTAATTTTTCTTGTTATTTATAGAAGACATTTTTTAAAGAAAATCTCACTCCCCCATATATTATGTATTAATTCCTTCATGAAGGAAAAAATAATCTAAAATCTAAAATTTTAGAATTATTTATTATAGTCTTGCCTATGCTTATTTCTGCACATTTAAGTTTTAAATTAAAGAAGAAAAAAAATCTGAAGACAAAGTGCACTGTTGGCATGATTATTGTTAAATTTTCTTTGATGAAATGCCTTTAAAAATTGTATTATGAAGTTATTCAGCTAGTTGTTCATGGCCTAGCTGCTTGCCATCATTGGCTACACAAATTTATAGGTGTCCAAGTCCATTGTTGCATTCTTTTCAGCATTTCGGGAATGAAAGTATTGATGATATCACATTCTGGAGTTTGTATAGATATGTAGATATGCAGTAGCACTCAGCAGTGGGCTTGCCAATAGCAGCTCGTAGCAAGTTATTCAGATTCTTGAATTTGTGGCATTTAGCTCAAATATAGAATTAATCAAGTTATAAGGTTTCATGAATATGATGCATATTTTGAGAGAAAAGGCATGTCCGACTCTATTTTAAAATGTTATTCAGCAGTTTTGCCTTTGATATTTATATCATGTTATCACATGAAGTAAATTAATTCTCTTATATTGCTTAGCATGATTTTGAAATAGACATGAATCTATTAAGAGTAATGATACAGAAAATCAGTGGCTCTCTGTTGAACATTAAAACATGCATTCTGTCACATTTAGTGAAATTTAAAATTACTATCCACTTTTACAAATGATTTCTGTATCTTACAAAGATAGTCACCTTAGAAATATGTTCAATATGTGTGTTTTCTTTATCTTTTCAGTAATGTTTCTCATTTTTAGAGATGATCACCGTGAAAGTTTACTCTGTATTTACTGCATGCTGTCTTGCATTAAGATGTGAAAAATACTGATTTTATTGAATGGTTCTGCAAATCAAGGATATAGCTGAAATATTATTCTATACATTAAAATCCATAAATTCTTTTTATAGCATGATATATAAAAAGTGCAGATTTCTTTAAGTTGTGAAGATGACTGAAGTATTAAATATATTTGTGTCTAAAAGATGATTTTTATAGCTGTAAAAAATAATAATTTTGAAACTTGGCTTTAAATACGTATATTTTTAACTAAGCTGTAAACTCCAAAGTAGATATTAAGATAAATTTTTAAAAAAGGGAGAGGACAATGATATAAATATTTGAAAATGAAGTTAAATCCATAAAATATTCTGTTAGTATTATCTCTAAATATAGTTTATTTTTTATGTATCATATTCAAATCATTAAGCGTTTAACATTGTGTTAATAATTGTTTGAACTATATTTTTACAATTTTTAATAGTACAAGCTGATTTTGTTAGTTTCTAGAAGTTGTTAAAAATATAGTAAATTTTGTGAATCATAGTTTGATATGTATTTTTGAAATCTGTGTTAGAAATTTGGTGCTATGAATTCTCTTCTGAATTTCATCATACACAACTTAGATATTTTACATTAAATATATTAAATGTTGTTGTACATAATTGTGGCAAAGCACACGAGGGCTATCTGCCTAAGGGGAGGGATGCCTTCGTGGAGGACTTTCTAAGGGAAACTGACTCATATATACACGTTACACATGGGGAAAACCACAACAACGCCCATGCAGCCAGCTCGTTCACATGATTCGAACCTCGGACCGAACTACCAGTGTTCAGCGACTAAATATATTAAAATATATTAAAATTGAACATTGCTTTTATATTTAATTTAAGGTATATTTTCTGTGAATGTTTATATTTTTATTTATAATAAATTTACAATCAAAAACTTTTACAGTTGAATGATTTTTTACCTGTTATGAAATTGTATGACTTGCTGTATCCAGAAAAAGAACCTTTACCATTTCCTGATGTAACAAAAGCTAGTTCAACTCATGCCTTGGCTATTACCTGCATATGGATTCATCTTATGAAAAAAGCTCAGCTAGAACAAGTTAGCCTCCAGAGAAGATTGCCTCCAGCTTTGACAGCTCATTTAGAGTAATTTGCTTCTTTTGTATAAAATTATAATATTGAACCGATAATAATCTGCACTGTAGTTTCTTTTTAACATCTTTGGTTGAGTAGGAAACATTGATATGACATTAGAAGTTAAGCTTCTTTTGACTCAAATCAGAACAGAAAGGATAATTATAAGCAGAAAATAAGGGAGAAAAAAGTTATAAGAAAAACTTTCATGTTGTTTGTCTGTCAGATTGTGTGGCTAAATCCTCTTTAGCCTGCTTTCAATTTCATTCAGCCCTCTTTACACTATATACATAAGAACATATATTTTTCATGTCCACATTGCATCTCTTACTTAATTGGTGATGGGTTTTATTCAGTATCCAAAATGCTTTTGCCACAAAACAACATTACATTGCTTTTATGAACTTGAGAATTCTGCCATCTGGCTCACCCAACTATAATGAGTGTCTTTTAACAAGATTTTCATATTTCTACATTCTTCTTATACTCAGGGAAAACATTTTGAGAAATTTCATTAAAGAAAGAAAAGGAGGTCTTAGAACTAGAATTGCCTTGTTTATTCAGCACTGAAATAATTGAGCCTTTTCCTTGTATCTTCTGAAGTAGAAAGCAAATGAATATTTTATTGTGTTTGAGACTATGTGTTAAAATCTTCCAAAATATTATTTTTTAACACCAAATTTAGCATTCACATCATTTGTGAAATAAGTAATTTACATCATTTTTTTGATATTGTTGTCATATCAAATAGCCAGTCTGCCATATATTTGATGAAATATTCAAGAAAATTGAGATTTCTATATGTTGTTTGACTTTGTTCTGTACATTTTTATATGTTGTTTGGCATGTGTTATTTATTCATTGATTTGGGATTTCATTTTTTATGATACTAAAATATTGGATTTATTTTTAATACACATCAGATAATTTCATTTATCAATTTTAGGTATTTGCAACACAGTCTGAGCAATAACAACTTATCCCATAGCTTGAATACAGACTATAGGATATCACTGTTATGTAATGCATGTAAGTTACTTGCTCTATTTTCATTTTTTTTTAAATCATATCTTTGTTTGAATGTTTTATTGCTAGATTACAAAAGACAAATTTACCATTTTCTGCAAATAATTATAACACAAAATTCATTTTTAATATAAAACAAAGATAGATAGTTCAAACTGACTAAGAAATTTTAAATTTGTATTGAGAATAGGAATAAAGAAGAGAATTTAAGTGACTATGGAATAGAAAGCTAAAAAAGTAATTTGAAACTGCTAAAATTTATGTTCATTGTTATAAAAATGACGCTAAAATCATGTGGAGTTAAAAAAAAATTAATTTTTTGTTACAGTGATTTCAAATATTGAATTTTTTAATGTTTTCTGAACTGAGTTCAAATTTAAAACTCATTTCTGTTTTGGAAAACAAATTACTATTGGTCATTGTTTTTGAGTATTTCCCCACCCCTACAAAAAAATTATTTTGCATATGTAAGCCATTATGAATAATGATAATTATCTTAGAATGCAGTTTTAATCTGTTTTCTGAGATATTTAGAATGCAGTTTTAATCTGTTTTCTGAGATATTTTTTTCTGATACATCTCATCTTAGAATCCAACAGTAGTAGGGTAACAGTTTGAAGGCTGCATTTTCCTTTAATTTGTGTTTCTACTGAATGTAAGTCCTGATAGTCTGGGCAAATGGATAAAATTATAGGACAGTTTCATGGTAAAGCCTGCCATTGTTTCCCAAATCATAGACTATCATCTCTGAAAGAGACCAGTATTTCATGAGACATGAATAAACATTGCCTAAGGTGACCACTTTCACAAAAGAACAAAATCATGAATGTTTGTCTTATAGAGGTTTTGTTGTAATTTATCCCACATTTAAACAGCTGCCTGTGTATAATTTTGTCTCATGTTTACATGAATACTAGGCAGTTTTGTCTAGGAAATCCTCTGTTATTTGATAGACACCCCTCCAAAAGCAGATGGTCTGCAAGTGTCTTGCCATATTAAATAATCGGTTTCTTGTTCAAAATTCCTGTTTTTATTGTATTGCAGATAAATTATCATATGGGCCAAAAGCTAAATACTAAATAAGGTCGGGTATGAAACAATTAAGGATACTTTATAGGTATTGTAGCTTAAGTGTATTATTAGTCTATTAAACAATTTTTATGTTCTAATATTTTAATATTAATTAATTTTAATATTAAATCTGCTAATTTTATGTTCTAATATTTTAAGTATTGGTGTTTGAGATGATGATGAAACTATTTTATTATCAATATTTTCTTGCAGTCTTTTACTTGATTGCTGCATTATCTGGTGTACTTATTAATGTAAAACTTTTTTGTTTTTAAAAATTTGTTAATTCAAGTTTTAGAATTCAGGAATTGTCTGTTTGTATAAAATAACCTCCCCCCCCCCAAAAAAAAAAGTTCTTGCTGTTCATAATTGTCAGAAAGAGACTAACATAGAGCGTTAGGTCTCAAAGTAATTTCTATCAGAATCCAACACCCTTTGAAAATATTCCTGCAGCTGTGAAGCATCTTTCAAATAAAACTCAGCGGTCTTGGTTGCACAGAGTCTAGGTGTAAAGTCAGTGAATGTATGCAGCAAGTCTGCATCGTTGAAGTAATTTTTCACAGAGGTAGTCCATGAATTTCATCAGGTGGTAATTTGTGGACTCTAATTCCGGCAAGCACACTGTCTTGGCCAAGTCGTTGAATGTCAAACCAAATTGCCTCTACCACATGGGTCTTGCATTGTACAACACACCCTTGTGATTAATCAACACTAACTCCATCTGCTGCAGTGCATGTTTCACAAGTTCAACTGCTGTGATTAAAGGTCTTCACTAACCTGTACTCTCAGCCACTCAAGTAGTAGGCTTGATGTTAGTAGTTCGTAATGCATCACTTGCAGACTAGTCCAATGGACACAAAGCTTGATCTTGCATGTGTTAGTAGTGGTCTTGCTGTGTAAGGCATAGGGTCATGTGGTGACAACTGTTGTCTTGTATATGTTGGAGTGTCATACTGGACCCAATTTTTATCACTTGACCAAATATGGGTGTGCCAAATACAGTGGTGAAGCAGCAACAACAAAGAAGTTGTCACTTGTTTGTTGTTGTCTGCTGACATTGTGTGGGGGTATTCACTTTCTCATAATCGCTTGTCTAATTTTTATATCTCTCCTGTGCACTTTAGGAGAAGTCAGGCTGTTTCCTTGAAAAACTGGAAGTATACAGCAAGTTCACTTCTGTAGTTGTCTTCAGAGCCTTGAAATCTAACACATGTGGTTACCTGAGGTTCATCACAAAGACTCATCTCCGAATTTGAACTTCAAGAACCAATGCCTGGGGATGAATGTGTTCATTTGCAGCATCCTCCCCCAACTGCCTGACATATTCTTGGTATCCTTTCCAAAGCTTGACTTGATGCAGCTGCTAACAGACCCACTATAATGTCGTACAACAAACGAGCTGCTTTGATACCTCCATTTCTGCCTAATGTTGAATGAGCTATAATTGCTGCATATGTACCGTGTGCCTATGTTAGTGCAGATCAGTGGTTGTACTAACCCTCAATCGCTTTTCTGGCATGCGAGTCTCTCCGTTTTCTCTCTGCAAGCTCTTCACTAAGTGGGATGTCGAAAGTGGCAAGAGTATTTTTGATTACTTTGTCTAAGCAACTGAAATATATGTTATCTCTCTGAAGGAATTCTCTTTTAATATTCTTCTTTAATTTTATATAATTTAAATGAAAAATTCTGGTGTAGAAGAAAGACGTGTCCTTGGTTATATTCATCTATAGCAGTGTTTCAAAATCTTTCTGTGCCTAGCATCTTTAAACAGTGCTTGATTATAATTTGTAACATACAGTAGAGTTTCAACTCCCGATATCTCGACATTCCATATAACTCGACAACTTTTTAGAAACTTTTTTAAGATATCCGTAGGCCAAACAGAGCAAATATTGCATATAATTATTATTTATTTGTACATGCAGCACATTATCTCGAATTTGTGGGACTCTACTGTACTAGCAAAAATAATATCTCTTTTATGCTCTCCTAACAAAAGTTATTCATATTTATCACTAAAAACTTTTGATTGATTTATATGAATGAAAGACTATACAATTATTACATCATATTGCATGATTCTGAAAGCAGTACTGTGACATTAAATAGTTTAATTATAAAATACGTTTTCTCCCTTTCATCCAAATACCAGGACAGTTCATGATGAATTACTCTCTGGAGTTATGGCGGAACTCATTGTTCATCACTGAAAAATATGAGAGATAAGAATATTTAAATATAAGTATTAAAAGCACTGTTATTTAATAACATCCATGTGAAAACAAAGCAAATTTGTTTGCTATATAATAAAATAATGTAAACAATAATATCAGCATTTAGAAAGTAGTTTTACTCCAAAAACTTATCTTTTATTAACTGCAATCTGTAAAATCCTTGAAATTTTTGCTCTTCGTATTAATTTAAGAAAAAGTCATTCTCTAAATTATGTGCATACTAAAAGCATGGGTAAAAAATAAATAAATAAATAAATAAAGTATCTTATAATCATTTAATTTCAATTAATGTTTGTAATATATGACATTGTTTGTCTGTTGTTTTAGATAGCACCAATCAAGAGTGCTTTACGCGACCTATGGGTGTGCTTGTTGAAGCTGTTCAAGGTAATCCAAAGCAGCAAGCTGCACTCACAGGAGGAGCTGTTTCTGGTCCTATTAAGCCTTTATCAATGAGCATATTAGATTCACTGACTGTTCATACAAAGATGAGGTAGTATAAATTTTATTTTCATTGTAGAATACTGTATTAAATAAAACTTACTTTCAAAGAAAAAGTTTTAAAAGCTTTTTATGAAAATTTTAAATACAAGTTTTATAAATCTTTAACTAAATTACTTTCAAATAATTATTTAAAGGATATTAGATGAGTACACATTGATATAATTTTTTTCTCTTATGTTATCAATAAGTTCTTAAATTTTGTAATTTTTTTAAATCATTCATTATATTAGTTTTTGCAAATGTGATGTATGATACAAGAAAATAAAAACTGTTTTCTTTATGTCAGAGGCACTGCAAGATTTTTAGTTTTTAGTTAAAATTTTATGTACATTTATTAATATTTCAGATTTTTAGGTTATATTTTGTTGCTCTTTCTCTTTTAATTTTGACTCTATTTTTATTGTAAACCGTTCATTATTTTTTTGGGTACTTATAGCTGTGATTTTTAATGTTTTTTATTTTACTTTCTGAGTAGTCCTATTAATTTTATTTTCATTTAAAAAAAAAAAAAACATATTTCTTGCAGCCTCATACATAACATTGTAACACATGTAATGAAACTTGCTCAGACGAAATCAATGCTTTGTCTTGCTCCTGCATTGGTGGAAACATATAGCAGATTATTGGTATACAATGAAATTGAGAGTCTTGGCATAAAAGGTTTTATAAGTAAGTATTGTTTTCTAAATCTTTGAGTTGTATTTACATGGATGGTAGGCAGCTTCACATTTAGGGCAATCTTTCTGGAAGGTGAAAAGAAATGGGCTTAACCCATATGTAAGCTCAGCATGTTGAAAGTATTCTGTAAGGTAGATAATTAAATCTGAGGTAAAATTATGTAAATATGTTTGGTTTTATATAACAAAAAAGTGAACATGATAAATTATCCATATAATTATCAGTTTTGATGTCTGATGTACTATAGAAAATTTCTTGAAGTTCAGAAAACTGAATTATTTGTTTGAAATTTTATAGATAATAATCATAATGCAATACACACTGGTACAGAAATATATTAATAGTCAAGAATTCTGTTGCATACTTCAAAAAAGAGTGATTGATTCCAAATCAGAAGTGATATTTTATTTCAAACCTCTGCACTGTTTTCAAGATCTAAGACTTTAAAACTTTGAGTGTGTCTTATGATTCGTAAAAGTATATGATATTAGCACTTTTTTACTTGCTTTTAAAGAGTCTATTCTATTTTATTACTTTAACACTTCAGAGAATCTATGAGAGGTCTAAAGCCATGTTGCTGAAAATGGTCATTTATCATCCATTATTTGTTCTAACGTATGTGTTTTTTCGTTGTGCTGTATCATGACGTTGAGAGTCGTATATAATTGGTCTTCTTCTCAATTATAACATATTATAACTGTAATAAATAATAATTGTTGTTTTTCAACATAGAGTATGTAAGTTGTAATGCATTTTGTTTGCTTAAAGTGTTTATATGTAATATTAGTATATTTTTATGAAGGATATTTTAAAGGAAAAAATTTTATGTTGAGGCATACTGCTTGCAATGCTTATTTGCTAAAGGTGGGCATATAATTTGAGTGTCAAATTTTTAGTTTATGAGCAAATTTCATGATTTCTGTTTTGCAACTTCAAGGAGTTTGCTTGTGGAATTTCTAAGCAATTTTCATTTAAGAATTGACTTTATGTGTGTGTGTGTGTATGTATATTGTGTAGGCCACATTTTCAAAACTAGATGGCAAGCACAGGTAGATGGAAATTAACTTGCTCAAACTATGGCGAGAGTAGAAAAATAACATCTGTTGCGCTTTGGTGATCTTCTTTTAGTTTTCACTGTTCTTTCATTATTCATTAAATATGTTTTCATGAATAAAGTCCGTTTGAGATTTTACTTATTTATGCACGTTCTAAATTGTTTATTGGTCCATCAAAGCATAAGGACCTTTGTACCTATGGACTTTTGTGAATTTTCAATTTATTTTATGGGGTGTTGTTCAATAAAATTCTCTTAGTTCCGTTCCGCTGGATTAAATTATACTGTGACTCTTTTAATAAATGGTGAATCCATGTTCCACTGTGACGGTTCTTTCAACTTATGGTGCGTTCAAAATTTCTTTAATGCAATTTGTGCATTTAATTGACTTATAATTCGTTTAATATAATTTCATGCATTTAAATGACTTATAGTTCATAATTCATTTAATGCATGTATTCTAGATTCATAATGGAAAGTTTCAAAACTTTACTTGATCAAAAAAAGGCACTTAAATTCTCAATCACCCATTTAAAGAACAAAGCCCTAGAGGAAATAAATCACTTGGATTTTGCTAGATTAAATTATAGAAGAAATAGATCTAATTCTATGATAGAAGAAATAAATGATATTTTCTCTAAAATATTTTGGTTGTGTAGCGAAGATAAAGAAACTGGCACGTACTGCATGGAGAAAGAGGAACTGTTTGAAATGTGTGATGAAACGTTAGCTAATTTACGAGGGCCATCCAGGAAGTAGATTACGTTTCCGTCTGTGTCCGCTAGGGGCGGGGCTAGCGTGGCCATCTTGGGGTCAGAGCGTTGCGCAGCTCAGTCTGCATCTAGCCGTGCTAGTGAGAGGTTCGTGCTGTGCTCCGTTCAGATACTGTGACAGTTTGAAATGTCTGCGTTAATTGAAAATCCCGCGAGCTGCGAGGTGCGCTCAGTAATAAGGTTTCTGACTGCAAAAAACTGTAAACCGATAGAAATCTATCGGCAGCTTCGTGAAGTGTATGGGGACAACATTATCACTGAAGGTGGAGTGCGTCAGTGGGTCATAAGATTTCAAAATGGCCGAACCCAATGTTCACGACGAAGATCGAAGTGGGAGACCCAGCATAGTGACCGCCGAACTTCTCGAAAAAAGTCGATGCTAAAGTCCGTTGTGAAAATCGAAATTTCACAAATAACGGAACTTTCTTTGAGTTTTCCACAAATTTCGCGAAGTTTGTTGCACGAAATCATCAGCGAAAAGCTTGGTTACCACAAGTTTTGTGCAAGATGGAAGGCAAGAAGAGGTAACGAAGTGGTTGAAGGCGCAGGCGGCCGAATTTTTCGACGAAGGAATTTCCAAGCTCGTACATCGCTACGATAAAATGCCTTAATTTGTATGGTGACTATGTAGAAAAAGTAGTTTGAGTGTGGCTTTCATCTGTATATAATAAAATTTGTTTCCTATACTTTGTTTATTTTTTTATTCCAAAACGTAATCTACTTTCTGGATAGCCCTCGTAGATGAACGTTAGCAATTTCAAGATGTAAAGAAAGTAGAGTTGATTCTGCAGTAGCAACACAAACAGTGCTGATGAAAGCATATGATTCCATTGAAATTTAACTTCCTCTTTTGTCCTTACCTACATTTTCTGGTGCTGTTGATGAATGGTTGACATTTTCCAATTTGTTTCACGCATCTGTAGGAAAAAAATGAAAGATTATCCGAGTCTCGGATGTTACAGTATTTAAAAGGGGATGCTCAAAAGATAGTATAGTCGCTTTCTATTACTGACAGTAATTTCAAAATTGCTTGGGATCTCCTTGTAGAGAGATAGTTTCATAAACGTGAGATACTGTCTTCGTTGCAAAAAAAAAATTCTTAATTTTGCCCTCTCTAACCTGTGAATCTCATGTTCAGATTGTGAAACTTGAGATTAATAGAGTCCTTGGATGTAAAAATTGCAAAAAGCAGCAAGTATTATTCTCGTGTTTATTGTGCAGTTTAAATTAGATCCAATTACAAGAAGATGGTGGGCGTGGTCAATAACAGATGATAAAATTCCTTTCCTGGGTGAACTATTGCAATTTCTTTCAAAACATGCTAGATCATTTATTACTTACTAACAATACAGAATCAAAAAAGACTTTTTCTAAGCAGGTTACACTAGTTGCTTTGGGTTTTCAATCACAGTGTTTACTGCCAGGGAAATCATGTATTGATTAAATGTAATGCATTTCTCAAGCTGTCTGTGCAAAAAAGACTTTCTCAAGCTGTCTGTGCAAAAAAGACTTTGTTTTGTAAAATTGAAAAATATTTGCTTCAATTGCTTAACACAATTTCATCTTAAATCAACCTGCACAAGTTCTTATAGATGTCGCAAATGTAAGAAAGCTAATCGCACGTTATTGCATTTTGACCACACCACTGAAGGTAGCACTGATTCTCCAACAAGGAATACAATTTATCCAAAAGGTCTTTCTGTGAACGCTAAAGTGTTTGCACCTTCCAATTCTAAAAACTACTAGTGACTTTAATGCAAAATGTGAAATTATTTCAAATTCCATTACTTCTTGTTGCTCGGATTTGGACTCTGATACCCAGGTGCTACTATGCACTGCTCTAGTGAATGTAAAGGATTCCTCTGGTAAAATTTCTACTTATTGTGCTCTTTTGGATCCAGGCAGCCAGGCTTCTTTAATAACAAGTGATTGCCTAGAAAGAATGAGTTTGTCAAAAAAGAAAAAAAAAAGTGATAATTTCATGTTTGGGTGGTGTTTCTCAAATTAGGTTTACTCATCATTTTCTATCAAATCCTTCCTTTGTTACTTCTGTATACATTATCAAGAAAATAGTGGGTCAGCTTCTACATGTTAATTTGGGTCCTTCTTGTCCCGAACAATTCACTGATCTTACCTTAGCAGATCCAACTTTTTACAAGACTGGAAGCATTGATATTCTTCTTGGTATGGATATAGCACTTCCAATGCTTAAAGGTCAGACACTTTCATTGGGAGACAGAAAGCTCTTTGTTCTTCGGTCTCAGTTAGGATGGCTAATTGTTAATTGGTCTCGGTTAGGATGGCTGTTCAGTCTCAGTTAGGATGGCAGGGTTCCCTCATATGAAAAAAATTCAATTGTTCAGGTTAATAACATTTAATTAATCAGTGATAAATTTTAAAATAAATTTTTGGAACTAGACAAAGTACCTTCCGTAAGCTCCTTGAGTCATGATGGAAAAGCTTGTGAAGAGCACTTTAAATCTACACATTCTAGAGATACTGATGGAAGATATATCGTGAGGTTGCCCTTCTATACCTCACCTTCTCAACTCAGTGATTCCAAGACAGCTGCTTTCCGCACATTGAAATACTTAGAGAATTCCTTACCTTTCAACAGTAAAAAATACGAACAATATAAAGACTATATGCATGAATATCTATCACTAGGACATATGGAACTGATTCCACAATCTGAGTCTACGAAAACAAATGCATACTACCTTCCTCATTTTGCTGTTCTTCATGATTTGAGCACTATAGCAAGGTTGAGAGATGTTTTCGATAGTTCTTCCATGTCATCATCTGGACAATCTTTGAATGATCTTTTAATGATAGGCCTGCAAATACAGGAGGAATATTCACTATCCTTATTTGTTTTAGAAGTTTTCAAACTGTGGTGAGTGCTTATATATAAAAAATGTTTGGACAAGTCAAGGTTAATTCTGAGGATACTGATTGGCAAAGAATTCTTTGGAGAGAAAGTCCTGAAGAGCCAGTTAGAGAATATAGATTATCACAGTCACCTATGACACAACATCAGCACTATTCTTGTCCATAAGAGCTATGCAGCAATCAGCTTTAGATGAGAAAAACAATTTTCCTTTGGCTTCACATGCTACCCTTAATGTTTCTATATTGATGATCTCCTGAGTGGAGCTTCATCAGAGCAAGAAGCTCTAGAGCTAGCAGATGAATTAAAGAATATGATATAGAGAGGTTGATTCAACCTTTGAAAATTGCTCTCTAATGTTCCATCAATATTTAAAGAACCACAAATTAAGGAACAAAAAGATCTGATGCACATCAATTCAGATGAAAAAGTTAATGTCCTTGGTATTAAATAGAATACAAAAGATGACTGTTTTCATTTTGCAGCTCCACCAATCAAAGACAAATTGACATTTTCAAAAAGAGAAACTTTTTCAGAAGTTTCGTATGGTTTCGATCTCTTGGGTTTCATATCTCCTTGTGTGATATTTATGAAAACCTTTCTTCAGGAACTGTGGAAAAAATCCTTAACTTGGGATCAATTCCATCCCAGAAGAGATGGATATTCTTTTGCAAAGAGCTTCCTCTAATTCATCAACTAAAAATACCTAAATGTGTATTGACAACACAAAGTGTTGAACTGGAAATTCTTGCATTCTAGGATGCTTCTGAAAAGGCTTATTGCAGCGTGATTTACGTGAGATGTATTTCAGAAAATTCAGATGCAAATGTTTCTTTACTTACCTCTAAAACAAAGGTTTCAACTTTGAAAACACAATCTCTGCCGTGTCTAGAATTATGTTCGGCTTTATTGCTAGCAAATTCGTTGCGTAAGAGACTTTTCCTTTACCAGTTAAATGCATCATAGCTTGGATAGATTCAACGATAGCGCTGGCGTGGCTGTCTTGTGAACCTTATCGCTGGCAGTTATTTGTCGTAAATTCAGTGTCCAAGATTCAGACGATAATTCCTCAAGCCAAATGTTTCAGAAATTGATAATCCCATGGACCTAAGTACAAGAGGTATCTTACCTTCTCAACTAATTGTAATAAATGGTTCAATGGTCCTTGACTGGTTAAACAAACCTATAGATGAAATATAGAACTTTCCATTTCTAGAGACACTCTCTCTTTTTGATATTGCCTTGAAAGAAGAAAAAAAGTATTATAATACCAGTGTTTTAGGAGTTCAAGAACCTGCTGTTATTTCAAAATATTCTTCGTGGTCTAAATTACTTCAAGTCTTGGCCTGCTATGATTTGTGAATAACTGTTCTCATCCTGAGAAGAAATCATTAGATTTCCTAACTACAGAAGAGCTCAAGGCAAAAATCAAAATTCTATAGGTGAACCTTCTGAATTCCAGGAAGAAATTTCGCATTTGCTTAAACTCTCTCCTTGAAAATGAGAAGAGGTAGACCAATAGAGATTTTTAGTGATTGTGGCACTAATTTTAAAGGAGCTGATAGAGAGATCCAGAAGTGTTTTTCAAAATATCATGAGATGAAACTTTCGATTATGTCAAAAAGAATTTCCGATTCTGGACTGCCAAAGGATCTGCAAAGCAAAATCATGTTTCAATGTCCATCAAACAAAAAGTGGAATTGCTGCAAAAAATAGATAAAGGCATATCCTTTGTTTCTCTAACCATTCTGAAATCTGTTTATCAATTTCACGTTGGTCTGTGGGGGGGGGGGCGTTGCAGTGCGCAATGAACTGGAAGTTGATCTGTCAACTGCCACTATCCTTATCTTCAGGGCAGATGTTTTTATTTTATTCAGCTTATAATTCCCTACTAAATGTAGCATTTCATCTTGATGTACTCCATCTTTGATATGATTTAAATCAAATTCCTCATCATTATAAATATCACGAATACACATCAAATAGTTTTCTGGTTGCAATTTTCTAATTTCGACTGTGCGTAATGTATGCTTTATGCATGTGCACGTTGAAAGAAATGTTTAATAAAGTAAACAAAGAAATAATAAGCTTTTTTTTTGTAAATTTTGATACCCTTTAGATCAAAATTGCTCTTTATTTCATAAATTATGGTTTCATATTTTTAATTTTATAATTTCTGCATGCCATCTTACCAGATTTAAACTGATGATCTATAATCCAGAAAGACCGATAATCCGGAATCGCCGAAGTCCCGACGTCCGGATTAAAGACTTGACTGTATGAACATATCCAGAGTTCACTACACTCATCACTAGGTCGAGTTCTGTTTGAACTCACATCCATTGGCAGCAGTGTCTGAGGATCCTACAGATTTTGAAGTTCTCACACCAAGCCACTCTCTGATTGGAGCTTCACTTTCTACTTTTCCATTTTACCAGAGCAGGAGCTTTAACAAGAGCCTACCTCCTATAGACAAAGATGGCAGTTGTGGTAATCCGTCCTACAACATTTCTGGAAGAGGTGGTCAAGAGATTACCGTTTTCAACGGCAACAGCATCTTACGTGGCAAAGACGAAAAGAGACTCAGGTCAATGATCTTGTTTTACTCAAAGAAGAAAACATTCCACCTCTGTTGTGGCATATAGGAAGAGTCATTCATTAGACTTCATCCTGGAAGTAACAGTAAGATCCGTGTGGTAACAGTACGAACTGCACACGGAAAACTCAAAAGACTTATCATTAAACCATGAAAGTATAATACAAACTACTAATTCATATAGACTCTTGAATATGATTTGATTAACAGCTTCAAAAATGTTTGCATTCAATTATGTTTAAAAAGTTTGTGTTTTAAGGATGGAGATTTTTCTTTAATTAGTTTTGTGTAATAAAATTATAAAAAGGCTAAATGAACTGCTGTTATATGATTTCAAAACAAAAATTTTAGCCTTCATCAACTTTTTATATGATATTAAAACAAGAAATTGTCTTATTGACTTTTGATAAGTTTATTCACATTAAATGACATATCATGAATAATCATTATTATGCCATCATTTATTCAGAACAATTTTATGTTCTTTTATATTTTAGGTCACCTACTACCCACTGTTTTTCGAAGTCATGCGTGGGGAATATTGCACACTTTACTAGAGATGTTTAGTTATAGATTACATCACTTTCAGCCTCATTACAGAGTACAGTTATTAAATCATTTGCATAGTTTAGCAGCTGTGCCTCAGACTAATCAGACTCAGCTTCATTTGTGGTAAGTAATGTTTTTTTTTCAAATACCATAGTCACTCTCATATTTCTCCTTTTTTTAACTAATTTTACTTCCTGAAAATTGAGAGATACATGTAATATATACCACTTTTGAGGGGAAGGGTTAATTGGCGAACTTACCACATTTAGAAGCATGTGTGAACAGATATACTAATTTTACTGTATTTTATATGTCAAAGAAGTAAGTTAATTATCACTTTCACGACTATCCTTTTTACTTTACTATGTATTTTTGATATCTGTCTACAGCTTTTATATAGCCACTGTAGATCTGAAATTTTTAAAGCATATGCTAAAAAAAGTGTTCAAGTAAAATAGGTATATTTTGATTTTACACTCATTGTTTCTGTTATTTTTTCTCCTTTATTAAATTTAAATAGCATCTAAAAGATTCTGTTGTTTGTAGTGTTGAAAGTACTGCTTTAAAACTTATAGCAGGAATGGGAAGTGCTGAAGTTCAACCTCAGTTATCTCGATTGCCTGCAGAACCTAAATCATTATTATCTGGTGAATCAGAGGAACTCAATAAAGTTCTGGTTTTAACCATTGCTAGAGCAATACATGTTACAGGTTAGTTATCTTAAAGTTATGTAAATTGTTTTTTAGTAAGTGATTTTTTTTATTATTATATAAGATGAATATGAAATTCTTGAACTGGAAATAAAAAACAATTATATGCATATTATAAGTAAAACTTTACAAACTGATATGGCAATATTATTAAGAATTTGCTGCATCAGAGCTTCCAATTTTACTAGAAAAGAAACATGCCAATATAAAATGTAAAATTAGGCAAATAAGAAAATTTAGATTAGCATAAATTTAAAAAGTATATTGCAAAATTTTTTGTTTCTAAGGGGGGGCCTATGTAGAATCACTTTCAATATTAATAGAATTTCATTTTAAATCTGTATCAATCTGAAGCTGCTTCCCCCCCCCTAATTTTACATCATATCTGTCTATACATTTTATGGGGAAAAAATCATTCGGTATATCAGATTTAAATATTCAGCTCTATATATACTTCATACTTGATCACTTTCATTTTAATTTTTTCATGATAAAAATAATTAAAAAAAAATTGGTACAGAAGCAACTTTGGTTACTTTTATTACTCTTATTACTTCCTGTACAAGGAGGTTAAAATACATGGAGATGGCATCCTCTATTGCAGTACAAAGAGAGTGAAGCAGGGGGAAGAAAATAAGCTACATCACGTGAGGGCAAGAAAACACTACCCTTACTAGGTGCAGTGAGGTTAAATGTTAGCTGGTTTCAAGTTCTCAGTGTATTTCTTGTTTTGTATGCGAAGATATAAGAGGCTTAAAAGGTATTGAATAGTTACAGCAAAATAATGTGTACATTTCCATGTAAAAGAGTGTTTTTCAACATGCATACAAAAGTAGAAGAATCAAAATGTGTGTTTGAAAGGCCTTTAAGAAAAGAGTTTGAGTATTTTCTTTGTGTAAACGTTGGCAAAGAAATATATATAGTTCTCAGATTTTCTTTTTTATAATAATAATAAATGTGATACTCGTAATCAACTTAGATGTGACAGCAAAACATAAGGTAAAGAAGGGGACGTGGTGTGGCTAGATCTAAATGGGAAAAAAAAAAAAAAAAAAAGTTTCCTTTAAAGTGCAATCATATTATATTACTACAAGCCTTATCTTTTATGTATATAACTTTATTTTATTCTCAAGTAAATATGTAATAACAGGATTTTATTTTTAGTTACATTTGTCGTGTGAGGTTTAAAAATAAGAATGTAGAATTTACATATTTTTTTATCATTGTTTATTCAAGTTAAGATTTTTCAAAACATAAGTACTATTTATAACATGGAAAATCTGAGAATTATATATAATTAGAAAAACTAAAATATAACCAATTCATGGTTTGTGTGCTTAGTTTTTTTTTTTTTTTTTTTTTTGTGTGTGTGTGGTGGGGGCATCACAGTACTTTTAATGCCAGCATTCATTAATGATGGCATGCAATTACATAATGTAGAAATTACTGCAATTACATAATCTAGAAAATGTAGAAATAAAATGAAATGGCGCATAAAGTAAAGGAAAAAGGGTGCGAAGAATCTGGCATCTTTAATTTATGACTTCCAGGAACTAATTTGGGTGTGGTTTGGTTCTAGTACCAGGAACGGAACTGGGTGTGGTTAGGGCACGTCAGTCTTTCTAAAAGCCACAACTACTAAGGGCATACTTCCCCCCCCCTTTTTGGCTTCATTTAAACTACACAGAGGGCTGTAAGATTCTCACTAGTGTAATTAGTTCTCAGTTACTGTAGAAAGTGATGAATCTTAAGAACTATTTAGCGAATAATCACTTAAGTTCGTGTAACAGGAAACAACAGGATGGAAGGGTAACTAACCCTTTATTATTCCAATAAGATTTAACAAAACTCCCTCTTGGAGTGTACAATCAAAGCCGACCCTTAGGCTTGAACTTAAGAGACTAAGAATTAAACTAAAACTAAGATTAAATAAAGAAATATAGCCGAAGCTATCAAGATTTTAACCGAGTTGGTTAGCTTTATTTGACTATGAAGCTTATCAAGGGCCTGAGTACAGCCAAGCATAATAACAGCTTTGAGAGAGAGAGTGGCCAGAAGGCAGACACGCATAAATCAGAAACTCTGATTATCTCTAACTCTGTAAATAACTTTGCGGTTTAAATACTGCTCCTCCTCATTAAGTATTCAGACAGATTCCAAAACTACGTTCTGGCCGGAAGTAGTAAGTTGAAGTTAAGAATTTGACAGGAAAGGAACTTAAAATTTAACTGTTAATAAAATTAACATAATCCTTACAGGGCATCTCCATGTGTTCTAACCTCCTTGTTCCTGTACAATTTATTCATTTGTGTGATTTAGAAATTTATTAATGACTTAACAGTATTTATATGCTACACATTGTTCAATACCACATTGCTCCCTCTTTTACAGCAGCAGTGTCCCTGGTCAGGAATTCTGTGAGGTGTTGAAAGCTAAATAATATTATTGTCAGCTAGCAGTCTTGCAGTATCCACAGTACATTTGTCACAGAATATATAATTATGAGTCTAGAGCAGGGATGGCTAACGTTTTTCAATCAATATGCTAGTTAAATTACAATTTATTATTTTCATGGATTTTTGGAGACTAGGAAAGTTTTCCAAGTTTCTGTTATGCTCATTAAATCACTACTGGGCAACGTGTGACTAATGGAGTGGTGCATAATTAACTTGAAGGAGCACATTCTTCTTTAGGAACAACAAGCACATGAAGAAGTGCAGATGATCAGCCAATAGTTTAATTTAATCTGAGCTTGTCAGGGTTCCATCTAATGTGATGAGAGGATGACATAAAGATGCCCCAAACAATTACATCACCATATAACCAACTTGTATAAACCTGCCTGACACAAGTGATGCACTGCTTTTTATGCCACTTATGCACTCTATGGTTTATCCCATGCATGAACTGTCATTTGCTTGCAGCAGCTGGATCACAATTATTTATTAAACTTGTGAGAAGTTTCCTGTCTTCTTCCTTCCAGTGACGGTGCGATTTGGCAAACTGCAGCCACATCAGTTGATATCTTCTCATTAGCGGTGAAACTTGAAGTAGTTGTAAGCTGTATAACCAAGTTGTGGCAATTACTGACAAACAATCCTTTTGTAGACACTACATGAAGTATCTGTTTCAAAATCTGTCATAATCTGATATAAGGTTGCACTTTTTGCTGTTGATACGATATGTCAGTCACCAGGCACCTCACACTTCAGTCACTGGTTTACAGGCACATTTACTATGATTTACTTTGTTTTTCTTCGCATTCAAGGCACAGAACACTTTGTCAATACCTCTCAACATGCCCAGCAGTTAGGTTTTATTGAAATTGAACATCTGACTTTGTGAGTGCCAGTAGTCAGTGCCAATCAAACTCACTTAGATCGCTGCCTTTGATAACAATCTATAATGTGCTCGTGTTTGTACCCTAATACAGTCAAAAGTCTTTAATCCGGACGTCCATAATTCGGAATGATCTATAATTCGGACCTCAAAGCTACAAACTTTTTGTAAGATTTCCAGGGGTACTGATTTCCATTCTTCTTCTACTACTTTCCAGATTCCATTAATCATGGTGGGTTTGTGTTTAGAAAGAGCTTTTTGCAAGAGACCAAAAGCAAAATACTCCATAGTTAAAAGTGTCAAAGTACTTTATAGAAGTATGCCAAAAAGATATGTATGAACTACCTGTATCAGTCTTCATTTTTTCAAGGATTGCAGTGGTACTTTTTGATGTATGACTTGTGCATTTGTCTTGATGAAGTTTCATTCTTTGAAAATTAGACTAAACAAATGGAATTTCTTCTTTAACCCCTTAACTGCCGCGGGCGTATATATACGCCTTGTTCAGCCGATGCGTTAACTGCCCCAGATGCGCAGCCGATGCGTTAACTTTGCGAATAATTTTAGGTGTAGCAGCGCAAAGCAAATGATAGCAGTTTGGAAGGACGTATATATACGCCTGGGGCAGTTAACGCATCAGCTGAGCAAGGCGTATATACGCCCGCGGCAGTTAAGGGGTTAAATATCAGACATAAAACTCTCTCTTGATAATATGTTGAGTTGATTTTAGCATTTTTTTCCACCCACTTAATGTTTAATTTTCCACTGTAAAAGAATCATAAATTCTTTTCTGAATGTGACAATCATTGACTGAAACTTTCTTTACATTGAAGGAATCTGGTTCATGCTGTTTTTCGTCCCTTCATTTTTGATAATAAATGAACCTTTTTACTTCCTTGTGCAAAGTAAAAAGGAAGTATTGTAATCGCGAAAAGTTTCAGGCAGCATATTTCAATGAAAATGTCCATTTTGACTGCTATTGAATGCAATTTAACAATGTTTTTGCGTGATATCTGTGCATAAGGACAGAATAAAATACTCTTTTCCTTCAAAAAAGTTATAAAACTGCTTTAAAATTAATTCTGAAGAGAATTTTTCGTGGCGTCTGTACAAACATATGTACGTATGTACGTTCGTGCATACGTACGTATCTCGCATAACTCAAAAACGAGTAGCCTCAGAAAGTTGAAATTTTGTATATAGGACTGCTATAACATGTAGATGTGCACCTCGTATTTTGGGTGCAATTGGCCGCACCAAACGTATATAAATATATTTATATATATATCACTCTGTTACCCTGCTCAGTGATCTCAGTTTCTTTACTCTTATATGTTTGTAAATTGTACATTTTTTGCTTTAAAAATGATTGAATTATGTTGTTTTTATCTTCCGGTTAAGGATATTATGCCTTTAGTAAATCTGTGTGCAATATTTTTAGAATTATCAGCAATTTTAAAGTTGTTTAATTGCCGCTAAGCCTTTTTTAATGGCAGCCATTGATGTTTACATTTGAAACAGGAGACTGGTGGATTTGTTGCCAATCTAGAGAAACTTAGCTTCGCAACAACAGAGATAACACCTTCATTTATTATTGCCAATTAAATCATGCTTAATCCTTTCTGGAATTTTTTCGAGGAAATAAGTGTTTAAGATTTACTTCGTAATTTTTAATATAGATATTTTGAGTTTTTATGTATTTTTGCCTTCTTGTGAAGTGAGAACTGAATTAATTGAATGAGAAATACTCAATCGTCTGTGAAAAACTGTTTCTTTTTTGTTTTATTTGCTTAATTTCTTTTATACATCATTCTAGCTTTATTATAGTATTTGAATAGAACATGTGACAATGATTAGATAACTCTATTCTTTAAATGATATAAATTTTGTGCATTATGAGTTATAATATGAACGAAATATATACGTTAACTGTTATATAATTATTAATACTGTTAAGTGAATCTAGCGCCAGAGTGTCGCTATGGTAACAAATACTAGAGTGAATTTTAAAGAATGCATTTATTCTATTGTGGTTTATGCACTGTCGGCAAAGTAGATTTAATTCAATCCAATAAGTTTAAATGAAATGCAAGAAAAAATGCGTATAATTTAATATTCCAATACAAGGAAGTCATGTGTTGTACACATCAGATTTTTTTGTTGCAGTCATGTAAATACATGTTTCATAAAGAATCAGAAAATATTTCCAGTTATCTCATACTAAATGGTTTTCATACGGGGTTCTACAAATGTTTTGTGTTGTGCCACATGTGTAGGCAAAAGCTGATGAACATTATGTTTTTTAGTATTTGTAAGTAGTAAATCTTGGTTTATTATTTTATTTATTGTGGCTACAGATGTATGTAAAGACTTTGCATTTGATTTTTCTATTAATGATTTTGTTCTTGTTACTGACAAATATAACTTTAGAAGCTTTATTTAGAGGCAGTATATACTTTTTCAGGTATTTGTTTATTCTTTTCATGTAGATGTAATGATTGACAATTTTTCCCATTCCGTTTAATAATATTGCTTAATTTGCGCTTAAAAATTTTAATACCATGCATTTTACAATAGTTTTGGATTAAGGAATAGGGATATTTCTAAGAAAAATAAATTTAAAAGTAGCAGACAGTATTTTTCATTTCAAATAATAAGCTGTTGCAAGAAATTTTTATTCCAAAACATTTTTTTTTTTTTTAATTCTTTATCAAAATGATTCTAAAAAGGTGTAAACATACTCTGTGTATGGATATGTATATATGCTTGTGTGTGTTTTGCATCCTTATGGTTGTTAAATGTTATTTAGGTTCAGAATCTCTGTCTGGCACTTGGTGTAAGGAAATACTAACAACAATTATGCAGCATACTCCCCATAGTTGGTCAAGTTTTACTTTAATGTGTTTTCCAAGTGTTCTTGCTGATTTTTTCCAGCAACATCAAGCTGCTAAAGAAAATAAAGCTCAGTTAAAACGCTCAGTGGAAGAGGAATATAGAAAATGGAAAAGTATGTGTTGTTTTATGACTTTCTTTGCTCAAGCCATAGATATATTTATTCCTCATTTCCTAACCTCCTAAAAATAATATTTTGTTTTCAATTTCTAACTTAATCTGTAATAAAACAAATCTAAAATATTTCTCCGATTTATCCAAGATCCAGATTTTTAAAAAAAAAATTTTTTTTAATTGTCAGAATTTTTTTTAATATTTTATGTAAATATTCATGTTGTCAACATAGAAAGAAAAATTTAAATTGTGAAATACAAAAGAGATTAAAATTCTGCTTTTCTTAATCAATTTCAATGCATTTCATCAGTCCTGATTTTTGTGGTTTTGTTAATACAGAAGCATTGCTGATTCATGTAGAATTCAGAAATCTATCTCTCTGCACCTAATGTTAAAACTATAAATAATAGCTGTTAAAGAAACTAATTATTACTAACTATATGTGTATGAAACTTTAAAAATAATAGTGTATATTAGAGCAGAAGAATTATGATTCTGCATCAGCATAAAGTTAAAATTTTGTGGAGAATTCTTGTTAACTTGCTAGCTACAAAACTAGATAAGCTGATATTTTTTAATATTTCTTATTTAACCTTTTCACTGCCACTACAGGGAGAATAAAGCTCCCTTGTATACTCAAGTGCTTTTTACTTTTAAACCTAACATGTCTCCTTCAAGATTCCTTTAAAGCAGGGTTTCTTAAACTTTTTTCAGTTGTTTTTTCAGTTGTCCCTTTTTATCATTGATATTTTTTCGTGACCCCCAGGACCCCATAATATTTTCAAAAATTTTGTGGGATCCCCCATAAGTAGTGCGCAAATCTGACGCACGCGTGAGTGAAACTGTTAATTTTTTCACTTGTACTGAAATATACTATTGCAATTTTAGGTCATTAACTTAAATTTCTAATTTTAAGACATAGAACAATGTGAAAATTTTAAATAAGTAACAGACAAAATAACAGCGTCCAGTGTAAAGCAAAGAAAATGAACGTTTATATTATAAAAAGAATGCATCGAAACGTTTTCGTTTTTTTCTTTGTCTGTATTGTCTTATCTATTTTCAGCTACATTGTGTAAAAATATTTGGTAATTGTAAAATTATTATGATAAGTTAAAGAAATATCAAAACTGCTAAAATTTTTGGCGACCCCCCTTTCTTCGGTTGCAGGTCTTGTGATTCGCTTGGGGGTCGCGACCCACAGTTTAAGAAACCCTGCTCTATAGTCTGCTTTTTATTGAAATATTTAGATTTTTACATATTTTATTTATGTCTTATGTTTTTATACCTACAATCCTTATTTATGCAATTAAAATAAAAATTAAGATAATATGTAAACTGTTAATAATGCTTATACATTAAAATTATTTCTGTGCATTAATGAAGCAGAAAACTTAAAATCCAGAAATTAAATAGGTCATTGCATATTATAACCTAGTATGATACTTATATATAAGGATCAAAATGCCTTCATTGAGTGAAACTTTTCAAGGTGCTATGTAATATATTGACTAACTTTGCACATTTTATAATTTTATCGTAAAATCATACATAATGCATACAATAGCAAGGTTGGCACTCAAAATATTCCATTCATTTAAATTCCCTAACATTCTAGAATAATTGTTTTGCTTTTAAAATTTCAAATAAGACTTTCCATTTTAGTGTATGATATATGATATACAATACAGTGTGCCATGGTAACACTTCATTCATATATTGGGCTTACAGAGGGAAATAGAAGTGTATCTTATATGATATGCTGGGAGCAAAAAGGTTAAGCAGGTATTTTGAATGTGAAACAAGATTAAAATATTAATTCAATATTGTGTCAGGCTTTAATAGAGTTTAAGAATAGCAAGTACTTTCAGATAATTAAATACTTTTTTATAAAATTCTTCAGACCATATAGATAATTAAATATTTTGCTATGATTCATTTATTTCATTTAACTAAATCGTTTTGTTAGTAATTTAATTTATAATAATGATATAGAATATTTAGTTTTGTTTGAATTTTTAAAATTAGGTGTTGAAAGAAGTAATATGATAACTAGAAATGAAGTCTTCTAATCATAGTTATTCAATAGACTGTCATAAATATTCAATAGACTATCAAGAGTTTGACATCTGTAAACAAACAGGCAATATTAAAATTAATATATGTTTTCTGATACAGATCCTTTTGCTTGTACTTGAACTATTTTATATAAATGTTTTTAAAATCACAAATATATTTATTATTTCCTTGTTAAAAAACCTTTCTTCCTTCTTGCACATAAACTGAGTTTAATGTAATCAAACGAATTTTGCATTGTGAAACTAAATGTAGTTAATGATAGTCCCAGGAGTTATGTTCAATATTCAAGTAGGATTATCATCAAATGATGATATACTTGTCTCTTTTAGTTCAAATAAAAGAGGATTAAATTTTTTAAAAAATTATACCTACTTACTTACCTTTATCAGTGATTCCTTTATAACAGTGTTGGATTAACCTCTAGACAAATGTCTAGGTCTCATAATTTACAGTCTATCTATCATAAGAAAAGCTCTCGCCAGTTAGTCTGCAGCTGTCTGTAGCCATAGAAATGAGCCTTGACCTATTTTCCATAGGGGTGTCTTGAAGACAAATGATAAACTCTTTTCCCCTCAACCAACAGTTGCCATAAACAAAATAACAATAAAGCAACCCTTGGTTCACCCCTATATGAAATATACTAGCCCTGTTGCTATAGTGACCGCTACCTGCTAGACACTGTGACGGGTACTGTTCTCATAGACAAACAGTAGAAAAGTCCAATTTCTGTGCATAAAGCAATAAAAATAAATAGCAATAATTTTTTTTAATTTTAATATAATTTTTATAATATGCAATATTAGTGTTATTATTTTTAAATAATACAAAGAAATATCATTATGTTTGATAACTGAATAAACTATGTTATATTTTTTCCAGTATGTAGTGTGCATGAACTGTGTGGAGATTGTAACTCCAAGTATGCATACTGTGCTTGTTTTTCACTGTCTTTCCATTTTCATCTGCAGTTGTTATTGTAAAAACTAACATAAATTATCAAATTGGGTATCAAACTAACATAAATTACTTGTATTAAGCATTGGGGTACTGACCAGCTAAATTTGTTAAGTATAAATTCTCAAGTCTGAAAAGGTCAAAAGCTGCAATAACTCAACAGACACCTGAGAAATATGAAGGTCTGTAAACCAGAATTAAACATTATAATGAAACTGTACATCATATGCATTGTGCAGCACATTTAAAAGGTTTTTTGTTAATTAACCCAAGTTATAAGTTTGGCTTTACATTCATCCCGCCCCCTTACACACACACACTTTATTCAACTCCCATCAGAATGCAAGTTTGTTAAAATATAAATAAGCAAAGACTTTTTTATCCTTAGATAGAGAGCACTTTTGGTGATATAGGTTGATGTCACCATTTAATTTCCTTTTTGGTAGAATCAGTTTAAACTTTCTTTTTGGTAGAATCAGTTTAAACTTTAGTTAGGTGGTTTTGCTTCATGAACACTCAGGGTTAGCCGAGGTTTAGTAGGAAATGTTACTTTTATATTTGAATATGTAATTGAATGTGTGTTCTGAATTATTCACAAGTAGTGGAGTTTAGTGTATATTTAACTTTTTAGGCTGTATAGGCTTCAGGTTCATAGCTTAATAAATTGCATTTATTTTAAACCTTTAGTTTCGAACTATGGTACTTTGAATTAAAAGGTAGATGGGGCAATAAGCCATCAGGCAGATTTTATACATATTACAGTGATTGGTAGATTAAAGTAATTTAGAGAACTGTATACATTCACTTAATTTAGTTGACTATACTGTTGCTGAATGTTATTTACAAACCACATTAAGTTTTAATTTTGTAGAAAGAATTGGTACTTATTATTAATAGTATTATTAGTTGCATGTTTTCATTGTTATTAGAATTAAAACTTTCCAATATTGAGATGAATTTTACTGTAAAGCAAAATGTACATAATATCACTGTTAAGAGAAATATCTCTGTGTAATAAGTAGCAGTTGGATATGTAGCAGATGTAATAAGAGCCATGAAAAATTTTAGTAAAATACAATGTATCTTATTTTCATTATTCTCAAGCTAAATTGCTACATCTTCCTATTCAAGCCAAAGCAAAACACATTCAGGGAAGAAAAAAAAAAGAAGAAAATCAGAGTTTGTTCGAATGATTGATATTCGGAGCAAAATACTCACAAGGTTTAAAGCATCGAATAAATCCATAGTAATAATTTATCCATCTCTATAGTCTGCTAAAACATTTATCACGGTACCTTTATATGATTTGAATGGTAAATTTAATCAAGCAATAAAATGAGGCATTATCTATATTTCAACATCAAATTTTACACCAACACTCTTAAAAAATAAAAGTGGTGTCCCCCCCCGACAACCATACAGATAGAAATATCAGTTTTGTTGGTCATCAGATTTTAAATTAAATCCATTGTATGTTATATGTGGCAAAATTTATAGTGAAATTCATATAAAATAAAAACAATATTAAGAAATTAGCAAACTGTTGCATTTTTTCAGAATTTGACGATTTAAAGTATATGTTGGATTATACAAATGAAAAAGTTTAATTCAATGAGGATTGACGTTCATATCAAAGAATTTATTTTAATGGCAAGAAAGGGAAATTTGCAAAGTCCAAACAATGTGTGCCAGTCCGTAAAAAAATGCAATATTGCATCTTTTTTTTTCCAATTACCAAAATACTGTTAAGAATTTACACAACTATACATGTCAGTAATGCAACAGAACAGCGATTTTTCCCTGTTTAAAGATGAGTTTAAAGTTATTTAAAGAAATTCAGTCGGATAGGAAAGACTGAAGTCTTTAACAATGCTTGCTACAGAAAAAGATTTTTTTGAATGGCTATATTGTGAAGACATTATTGATCAGTTTCCTAAAATGAAATTCCAAAAACAAAAAATATTGTTTTTTCAATGCTAATTAATTATTATAATTATTACAATTATCACTGTATTGATGTTTGTGTATTCTTTTATCAATAAAACATTCAAATTACCTTTTTAAAATTTCATTTGAAATCACTTATATAATTGAAGCCCCAATTTAAATTTTATAATGAAGGCTCGATAGTGTCTTTGTCTGTCTTAATTGCCCTACATTCTATTAAAAATCAATAAAAGAAATAAATTAGATGAAAAGAATTATTAAAGCATTAGTTGTAAAGGTGCTAACTATGTCTTAGATAAAATTACAGCATAAAAATTAGTATGTGTATTTGGTAATCATCATTTAACTCATCTTTTTCACCTTGATGTACCAAATCTGCAAATTGCGACATACTTTCCGATTAGAATAAACATGTCTTATTTTATTCATTATTAATTCGAGAAATTATGTGTTGCAAATATGCAACTTTGATGCATGTAATTTTTAATTAGCAAATTGAATTTCTCTGAATTACTAATTCATTAAATTCTTTATTTTCAGCTATGAGTAATGAGAATGATATAATTTCTCATTTCTCTCTACAGGGCTCATCACCTCTTTTCTTGTGGTAAGAATTATTTTTATTCATCTGTTATTGAATGAAATATAAGAATTATAAATTTATATGCTTATTATGTAGTACAGTCAAAAGTCGTTAATCCGGACTCGTCGGGACTTCGATATTTCCGGATTATAGATCATCAGTTTAAATCTCGTAAGATGGCATGCAGAAATTCTAAAATTAAAAATATGAAACCGTAATTTATGAAATAAAGAACAATTATGATCTAAAGGGTATCAAAAGTTGCAAAAAGAAAAAGCTTAATACTTATTTGTTTACTTTATTAAACATTTCTTTCAATGTAAGTTGTTTAAGTTTTGCTTCGTTTCATGTGATAATACTTTCTCTTTAATTCTATTAAACAGACATAATTTCTTGTTCAGTTACAAAGTTCCGCTGTTCAAGTCCTATAATTGCTGTGTTGAGAACACCGACTAATTTGTCAATCGAAATTTTTTCGTTTTCAATAACCTCTGTTACTTTCTTCGCTATCGAAAGCAAATTATAGTCACGAGGAACTTGTTTTAAATCATATCAAAGACGGAGCATATCGAGATGAAATACTACATTTGGTAAGGAATTATAAGCCAAATAAAATAAAAACATTTGCGCTGAAGATAAGGATAGTGCTGACAGATCAACTTCCAATTCACTACGCGCCGCAGCGGCGACCCCCCCCCCCCACCCGCCGCTGAGCAGCGTGAAATTGATAAACAGATTTCGGATTTCAAAACATACTTTCGCTTTAGATCCTTTACATATTAACAAATATATATCGGAAATTCTATTTGATATAATCGAAAGTTTAAGCTTACTTTTATAAAATTGCTCTTACAGTCTGCAAAAAATAATAAGCCGGATCCAATTCGAAAATTAAGGAACAACGCAATCATCAACATTAACTGAAATGGATAATTAGATAATTTTAGCTTATACGTTCATTATACATAAAACGCGCACGCGAAAACGTATTCTGCACTTGCGCACACTCATATGCGCGGTCGTAAAAGGTCTTACGCGCACGCGTAAACGCCTATGCGCATGTGTCAACGTGGCGCATACACAGAAAGTTTTTAGTTTCGAGGTCCGGATTATAGATCATTCCGAATTATGGGTGTCCGAATTAACGACTTTTGACTGTATAAAGTTTCAGAGAAATATAGTAAATAATTTAAAATTCTTCAAGTAGTCTTCATCCATATAATTTTGTATAATACTTTTTATATGGATATCAATGTATCACTTGAAATTCTAAAAATATAGTAAATAATTTAAAATTCTTCAAGCAGTCTTCATCCATATCATTTTGTATAGTACCTTTTATATGGATATCATTGTATCACTTGAAATTCAAGTGTATTTGCTAGTATATTTATGAACTTTCCCTCCTAGTTTGCTGTGGAAGATGCTTTTAGACAATGATCGTATTTCTACAATAGCATACAAGTAAGATATATGAAATCAATCTGTTCATTTTCAGAAATCCATATCTAATTTTAATCCATAATATAATTTTAACTTTCATGAACGAATATAACCAAGTTTAGGTAAATTATTGTAATTCTTCTTTACTTCATAGTGCGTATTTTTCAATTTCTAACTGAAAGTATTTATTAATGGTTTTTAAAATAAATTTATATTCCTATTCTTTTAGAATATTGGATCGTATTGGTGCCCGAGCCCTTTCAGCACATTTAAGAACTTTTGCTGATTTTCTTGTCTTTGAATTTGCCAACTCTGTAGGGGGACAACATGTTAATAAGGTTAATTATAGTTCATACTTTCATCAGTCTTATAGCTTAAAATTAAACTATTATTGCATTTGTGTTAAAATTGTGTATCATAATACCTTAAGATTGTCATGTAAAAATATTATAGTGAATCTGAGGATAATTGCTTTATGCTTATTATATGAATGCTGTTTTATTATTGAGAAGATTAATTTTTTAATTTTTAAAAATTTGAATTTTAAGTAAATTTTAGAGCAAATTAAGAAGTCTGAAATTAAGAGGAATTGGAATAAAAATTTTAAATGGAATATTTTTTTTTTTTCATAATCAATCATCAAAACATATTATTTCAGAAAATGATAGAAAAAACTCTCTTAACTGCTGTAAGATCAAATATTCAAAGCATTGGTAATAACACCATCCGGGGGGGGGGTATGTTTATATATCCTAGTTTAGTACACAATAACAAAAACAGGAAGTAGATAAATAATTTGTAGGGGAAAAACACAATTTATGTGGATATCCAGAAAAACATATCCTTGTAATTCAAAAGAAAATCATAAAATAAGGAAAATATGGGTTTCACTAGTTGAATGATTTTTAGTGTAATATTTATTCAAATTGTCTGCCTTCAGTTGCTACACATAATTGTGTCCATAAAATAAAGTGTTCTTTAACTATCTTAATATAATTAGTGTTACACATCCACTCAAGGCTAGTATATAATTGGGCAGTCTGTGCAACTTGTTGATTCCTTTATATAAAGTCCCCCCCCTAAAAAAATTCTAGTGGATTTAAATCAGGTTATCATGGTGGCCATTTCATGATCCCATATCTAATAATATTAGTTTCAAATGTACTTTTGGAAAAATTGCTGGACTCTGGGGATTCATATGCTGGAACACCATCATGTTAAAACTGCACAAGCCAGACATTATCTTGTAAAAAGTCAGACAATGGTCCATTTAATATTTTTATTTTAATTTATGTGTGCTTTTCACCAAATCAAGTAGTATAAAAAATAAATGGATCAATCAGTGTATCATTTGATAACCCAAACTAAGCAGATATGAATAATAAAAAATTATACATGAGAGAATATTATGTATTTATGAGTTATAAAAGAATATCCTTGAATGACTTAAATAGATATAAAGCAATCTTGATTTATCCTAATATAAAATATTTACCTGACCCCTCAAGGAGTGTGATAAATTTGATTTTCTGGTGCTAAGAAATCCTTAAAAATTGCAAGCTTTAAAATTAAATATCTTGGTCAATTTTTGTCACATGGAAGTCACATTTTTTATATTTCATAATGAGTAACACATTTTTCTAACTATAAGGATGGGAGAACATTAGAAAAATTTAATTTTGTACTTTTTACAAAACTGATTTTTAAATTATAAAAATGAATATTTAGCTAATTTTAAATATTTTTATGACTGGAAGTGTATGTCTGTGACCATTGCTAACAAAATTTTATAGTTCCCCCTTAAACAGAAGAATTTTAGAATTTTTTCCCTTAAATAATCTTTAATTTAAATTTCTTTTATTTTTTTTTTATTTTATTATTATTTGGTTTTGTTTTTGTTTTCAAAAAGTTGTGTTGTCCAAAAGGGGCTTTGTCCCTGAGGGACTATTGTTTGCATTTTGCGATTATGTGTTGAATCACTCTGAATGTCCGTTTCACTTTTCAAACTGTTGCCACCTTATCGCCCTGTATTATATTTGAAGAAATTAAATAGTGAAGAATCTGCATAAATGTATGTATGTTTCTCTCATCGTGATGAAACTACAGAACCTAGAGCCATCAAATTTTGAATGACGTAATCCTACTGCGAATTTAGGCATCTGGAAGCCCAAATTTGAAATTTGGAATCTGTTTTATTATCGATTTCATATTTTGTAAAACTTTAAAAAATTTTTTATTAACAAACTCAAGGATTTCAAAGTGAGCAGTAGCAACGTTGTACAGAAAAAAAAAAAAAATTATCTCCAGCGCGTAAGACTGTGTATCGGAAATTCTAAAGATATGCTCGATTTAAAATTATTTTGCGATATTGCTCTTGAACTGAATTTCATGGTTTAAGTGCGAAGAACATGATATTTAATAAATAAAGGTAACACAGAAAATGTTAAAAAAAGTCCCTTTGGACGTAATTTAAAATCTGAACCCCCCCTTTTTTTTTTACAATCTTCAAATTTAGCAAGCTTAACTGTGATTTGTTGTGTCTATACATTGCTGCATTTATATATATATATTTTCTTTTGCAGTATATTGACGCATTAAATGATTTAATATGGAAATGCCATGTCATACAGTTGGATAGACTTATATTATGTTTGGTAATATTTTTTCTTCATGTAATGATGATAATATAATAATACTTTTTTTTTTTATCTCCCATCTATCTGCTGTCTTTACATTTTATATATTCGTACTTTACCTTTTTTTAATATTGTACATATATTTATTTATTTATACAAGAATATTTCACTTATATGAACTGATTTATTATTAGAGTAACTAGTGAAGGAGAATTCATAAAGTTCAAATGTAATTAACTATTAATTTATGTTTTGCCTCAGATGAAATTGCCATGGTGATGATATGCCACCTGTAATTATTGCTTATTTAGTGGAAAATTTGTATAACTTTTTAGTTTTTAAAATGAAATTCTTATTTTCAGATGAAAAATTCTTGATCTTTATAAAATAAGGTATAGCTGCATGTACATATTTATAATAAATATTTCTGTAAATATAATTTTTCAGCAATGAATGTTTAAATTCTATTCTCAGCATTTTCCTAATTTTTAGCATGCTGTCTATTTTAAAAGTTTGAAATGGAGTAAAATTGTTATATTAGCCATATTAATTAAGCCATTTTGTGAAAAGTTTCTTTATCAAATTGTCAGAGTTCCACTAATCAGTATTTTAATACATAGTCCAGATCTTCATGTCATTAGAGTGTTTTGTAATTAGAAACTCAGGAAAAAGGCAAAAAATCATTTGAAGCAAAAAACTATAGAGTAAAAGACTGAAGATCTTCACCTAAGATTGCAAAGTAAAATCTTGGACTAGCAGTAACATAAAGTAGTCTTCCCCTTCATTCTGAAGGAAGCTGAGTGCCATGAGAAAATATTTGTTGACAGCCCTTTATGGCTTGGCATAATCAGAAGCGATATACATTTATAATTTTACTTTTCGATCTGCAGTCTGTCAAAAAAGTTCCTTTACATTCTAAAAAATTTTCATTTTATGTTCACAGAATTAATTTTGATTACCCTTTTTTTGGCGGGGGTGTTGGAGATAGCAAAGATATCCTTGCACATTTTTTTGTCAAAAAGACAGCAAAAAATGTTTTGTAAAAGAACTGCCATATATTTCTTGGCATGCATGCTATTTATCTTATTGCTAAACATTTGTACAGTCAAAAGTCGTTAATCCGGACTCGTCGGGACTTCGGCGATTCCGGATTATCGATTTTTCCAGATTATAGATCATCAGTTTAAATCTCGTAAGATGGCATGCAGAAATTCTAAAATTAAAAATATGAAACCGTAATTTAGGAAATAAAGAACAATTATGATCTAAAGGGTATCAAAATTTACAAAAAAAAAAAAGCTTAATATTTATTTGTTTACTTTATTAAACATTTCTCTCAATGTAAGTTGTTTAAGTTGCTTCATTTTATGTGATAATACTTTCTCTTTTAATTCTATAAAAAGACATAATTTCTTGTTCAGTTACAAAGCTGTTCAAGTCCCGTTAATTGCTGTGCCGAGAATACCGACTAACTTGTCAATCGAAATTTTTTCGTTTTCACTAACCTCTCTGTCACATTCTTCATGTCTTTATCCATTTTTTTGCAGCAATTCCACTTTTTGTTTGTTGGACATCGAAACATACTTTCGTTTTGTAGATCCTTTGGAAGCTCCAGAATCGGAAATTCTATTTGACATAATCGAAAGTTCAAGTTTACTTTTATAAAATTGCTCTTACAGTCTGCAAAAAATAATAAGCGGGATCCAATTTGAAGATTAAGGAACAATGCAATCATTAACATTAACTGAAATAGATAATTAGATAATTTTAGCTTACACCGTCCGTTATACATTAAACGTGCAGGCGCAAACGTATTCTGCAGTTGCGCACACGCATATGCGCAGTAGTCAAGGTCTTACGCGCACGCGTAAAACGCATGTGCCAACGCGGCGCATGCGCAGAAAGTTTTTAGCTTTGAGGTCCGGATTATAGATCATTCCAGATTATGGGTGTCCGAATTAATGACTTTTGACTGTATTACTTTTTCATACTCTATTTACTGTATCACCATATACTTATTTTGTTGAAATATTCAGAATTTCTTTCTAAGCATTTAAGAATTGAATTTAACTTCCTGACAGGATAAAAAGAAGTGGGTAACATATCAGAACTTCACCAGTGGCTTTATAGATGTAGTCTCACTGCACTTACTGTGCAGTTTTGCTTCAATTTGAATGGAGAACACCCCAGGAAACAAATCTAAAAGTCTTCCACCTTTCTTCCACTAACACCAAACCTCTTGAGAGAACTTTTGTCTCACCTGTCTTTTAAGTGCCCCTATGCCACAATATACATTTACAAACATTCAAGACTTCTCCTGGATTTGGGCAAGAATTGTATTGCAGTATAGTATTTATTTTCAATAAATGTGAAATAGAGGACCTCCCGCCCCCTCTGAAAAAAGGACATTTTTAAAGACATTCCATATTCAAAATAATTAAAAATTCTGCCAAGAAATTGATCAGCTGTGCATTATTGCTTTGAAGACTGGCATATAACTAACATACATGTGTTTAAAATAACTGTGATCATGTCTGAATACAGTCAAAAGTCGTTAATTCGGACACCCATAATCCGGAATGATCTATAATGCGGACCTCAAAGCTAAAAACTTTCTGCGCATGCGCCGCGTTGACACATGCGCATAGGCGTTTACGCGTGCGCGTAAGACCTCTTACGACTGCGCATTTGCGTGTGCGCAAGCGCAGAATACGTTTTCGCGTGCGCGTTTTATGTATAACGGACGGTATAATCTAAAATTATCTAATTTATCTATTTCAGTTAATGTTGATGATTGCGTTGTTCTTCGAATTGGATCCGGCTTATTATTTTTTGCAGACTGTAAGAGCAATTTTATAAAAGTAAACTTGAACTTTCGATTATATCAAATAGAATTTCCGAATCTGGAGCTCTCAAAGGATCGTACAAAATGAAAGTACGTTTCGATGTTCATCAAACAAAAAGTGAAATTGCTGCAAAAAATGGATAAAGACATGAAGAATGTGACAGAGAGGTTAGTGAAAACGAAAAAATTTCGATTGACAATTTAGTCGGTATTCTCGCACAGCAATTAACGGGACTTGAACAGCGGAACTTTGAAAATGAACAAAAAAATTATGTCTGTTTATAGAATTAAAGAGAAAGTATTATCACATAAAACGAAGCAACTTAAACAACTTACATTGAAAGAAATATTTAATAAAGTAAACAAATAAATATTAAGCTTTTTTTGTAAATTTTGATACCTTTAGATCATAATTGTTCTTTATTTCATAAATTACGGTTTCATATTTTTAATTTTAGAATTTCTGCATGCCATCTTACGTGATTTAAACTGATGATCTATAATCCGGAAAAATCGATAATCCGGAATCGCCGAAGTCCCGACGAGTCCGGATTAACGACTTTTGACTGTATATACAAAGGAAAAGAACTGATGTGGAAAAACTTCATAAATTACAAAGAAGATTATGTAGTTGCTTTTAAGAAAAGAAAACTTATTTGTGTAAAGGTTTCTTCTGTCAGTAGATTGTTTTCTAAGTTAATAAACTGTTATTGTCTTTAGACTGCTTTCTAAAATCATATTTAGGATTTAATTGAATGGCCGTATTTTTTTATTCATTTACTGTTCTCAATGTGCATATTTCAGTAATGGAGTCATTGTATTTTTGTAACTATTGAAATCAGCTGACTCTTAATTCTTTCATATAGATTGGTTCATATTTGTGTTTTTTAAATGTTTAAAAAGAACGTGCTCTTTAAGCTGTCTATAAAACATGTGGTTATACTTAGTAGAAAATTTCATCTAAGACAGCCGTTCTCAACCTTTTGACTAATTCGTACCATCTAAACTAACCATCTAACTTTGACTAATGCATACATTTGAACAAAATGGATTTCTAATCCAATTTTCTTTTTCATAATCCATGGGAAAATACATGTTGAAATTATTTTTCAATCAAAAACAACTATTTTTAATGTTGGATGCTAATTCTTATTTTATTTTCAAATTGTTTTCGGTTAGAAAACTTTCTAAAAGTGGTAAAAAGCTTAAAATACTATTATCCAATTCTTTGATTATTAGCTTGAGTTTTTTTTTTTTTTTTTTTTTTTTTTTTTTTTTTTTTTAATCATTTCATTTATTTTATCTGTAATTGTAAACAAATTATCACTTGTATTCCTAAATTAAATTCATTTAACATTCCAAAAATATCAGCTAAATATGCTAGACAAGCCAACCATAATTCACTAAATAAACATTTTTGTATTTAATATTTTGAATCACAGGGAAAAATTTGAATTTCTGATCGAAGTTCAAAAAGATGATTTAAAACTCTGGATAACCACCCTACTTCGGAATGTAACAAAAGTGTTTCAATTTCACCGCCCATCTCTTCCTAAAATCATAAACATTCTTGAATTTCAAAGCTCAGCTTTTAATAAAATTCATCATTTTTACAGTTCGATTCAAAATTCAGCTGTTGGATTTTCAGGTTTCCTGTGATTGTTTTGGCTATGAAAGCTTCGCAATGAATGGAGCAGTGAGTAAATTTAGTTTCAGGTGAGACTTTCTTTATTTGATAAATAATACTGGAATATTTTCCTCTTAAAGCCCAAGCTTTGTTACACACAATGCACTTATTCCAAGGAATATCATTCTCAGACTTAAAATTGTCAATTACTTTGACAATTTCATTTGCAGTTGCTCTATCATGAAGAGATTCACAAAATAAATTCTCTTCCACTATTCATTTATCCACTTTGAAATGTATGTGAACTAATAATTAAATGAAGTTTGTTATATCAGTACTTTTCAATGCAATGCCCCCACTGTGTTTTTTTGTTCGGCTCTTTTATGCTTTGCCATTTCATGAATCCGTTGACTTAGCGTATCATTGAAATGGAATATTGTCAAGTTTCATTCCCACATTTTCATTGCTAATAAAAAACAAATCATTAGTTCTTGTATATAAGGTTTTCCCTAGGTTCCCTGCCCAGTCTTGGCAATTCCCTTACTAGCCTTTTAAAGCTTTTTCTCTTGAAGTAACAAAACCTTTCATTTTTTGTTTATTACTTTTGAAATCTGATATTTTTTAGCTCCTATAATTTCCTCTTAAAATATTCTTCGGATTTATCCTTTAAATTTGCATGCTTAAATTCTAGATGTCTTTTAAGAAACGATGGCTTCATACTTTAATTGTATAATAGTTCACCATGAACAACACTTTGAGTTTGAGGGTCCATTTCATCTCTATTCCAAGTAAACCCAAATGATATGTTACTTTCATTATATTTTCTATAAACTTTTTTTCTTTTCTTTTCAATATTCTTAGTGCTAGTAGATTGTCCTTAATCCATCACTTGTGAATCTCCCCTTTTCCACTTAGTCGATCTTAGCCATTTTTCCATTTTAAAAATCTAGGTTTGTTTTAGTATTTTTTCACAAACATTTAAATGCACAATATATTATGAATTCTTCAAAAACAAGCCATGATATTCTGAAATCGTGTAGAGAAATAAGGAATGCAAAGCAACAAGAAGACAAAATACCTGCTGTTAAAGACAGCAAATTGACGTAAAAAATGTTTCTAATTGAAAAGAGAGCAATATGATCTCGGGAATGGTGGTGACATAAATTGTAGAAATGGTAATAAATCGATCAACTGTAAAAAAATTTCTGAAATACTATTATCTATTATTCTATTATACTTATCTATTATTCTTATTTATGTGATACTTTTTATAGGAACTTGTTTTTATTTGCTATTGAATACAACATTTATTTCCATTACTTCTTTTAAAAACATCATTTATGACAAATTTTGTTATGTCTATGAATAAAAGAATATTTGTAAAAATAAAAATGGATTTTTTTGCTGAAGTCTATGAGTAGCTATTAATGTTGAAAAAAACTCAGATCGCATAAATTTACAAGTGTTAGAAAAAAAACTTAAACAGGATGTTGCGATATTTAATTTTTGAATTTAATAGTTAAGAATACTTTATTTCTTTTCGTACCATCTATTTTTCCTTGCGTACCATACAACTGGTTGAGAATCACTGATCTAAACTAAACATTGTCGAAATTTTATCAGTTGTATTTAATTTTGCAATCTTTAAATTTCATAATAGTTAAACTTAATTTTGCCAATGAATCTTATAATAGACAAACGTAGCTTTTGGCAATTTAAGTATTTAAAGTAGAAATATAACTTAAATATGTAGATTATTTTGAATTTATAATTGTTATTGTTTTATTCTATATGTTATTTTCCTACCTATGCAGTCATATCATTTCTGGCAACTTAAAAATACTTTGTTTCTTTGTGTACATCTATTTTTCTCTTGCAAACCACCGGCTGAGAATCACTGATCATTTAAATAATTTAAATAATTTTGATACCATTTAAATAATTTTGATATTTTACCTCTTTTATGTAAAAGTATTTGCTACATTATAATTCTTTTCTTTTTTAAGGCACTACGAAGTTTTGAAGGAAATGAGGCTCAGGTGTGTTTTTTTATTATCCATATGCTACTCCTTAGACCAACAGAATTCAAGAATAGAGTGTATGATTTTGTGAAAGAGGTGAGATGGTTTTGTTTTACATAAATATATTTTTTTCAGTAATTAAATAAAATTCATTAAAGTGTGTTGTAATTTTTCCTTTAAAGTGTTCTTAATTCTTTTCAAGAATGTTTCCAAGCATTTATTTCTTACTAAAGAAAGTAAATGTAGTGAACTGTTTTGGCCTCTAAAATTGATCAACATGTCTGAGAACATAAATTAATGTTCATATTAAATATCACCTTTCTAAAATGGCCACTTTTACAGAAGGCCAAAATTATCGAACTATGGATGGTCATCTTTTTTTATATTGCTTTGTCATAGGTAAATTAAAATTTTTTCTGATTTTAAACTTTAATTAGCCAGAAACTGCTACTAAATGATGAAATATGCATAATTTATTTTAAATTTTTACATTGATCATCATAATGTTCATGTATAAAATTTCTACTTATAATAATTATTAAATAATGAAGTAATACATTGTTATTCTATTTTATATAGCTGTTAATTTCAAATATTAAATACCTTATGTTTTTAAATTTATATGTAAAAATGCAATTTCAATAAAACTATATGTATGAATTTTTTTATGAAGTTTTAATATGATTTTATCATGAAATAATTTTTAGAATTCTCCAGAACATTGGAAGCAGTCTGATTGGCATGAAAAGCATCTTATGTTTCACAGGGTAAGTAAAATATTTTTAATCATAAGAAAATATTTCTTTTATTAGACTGCATGTGATAGCAGTAAAAAGTGTGAATTCAAAGATAGGAAAATTTATAAATAGTCTTGTAACTGATACTTCTTTTTATAAAACCATTTTTGAATTCTAGCTTTGTTATATGCACTTCATTTAATTATTTTTGCAGTACCTTTAGCCTTTGATGGTCATCAAAGCTCAGCTTACATTTAGTTATACACTGCAGCGGGCGGGCGCAAACAAACTTAGTTCACATTACAGATTTATGACTGGCATATCTTGCACCTATCTGGGGGGAGGGGGGAATTGCTTAATCTCTTTTTGCATCTCTAATAATTTAAAATTTATATTATTTCTGAAAAAAATTGTCCATAAATAACAAATACTAAAAAAATTCCAAATATTTTACCTCATCGCATTTTTCTGTTGAAAATAGGTAAATTAACTGTAGTCATGATCACTGTCAGAAGTCGTTCTTATAGTGTTTATTATTGTCACAATACAGGGTGTTTCATATTAAATAGGCAAAAAAAAATAATAATAATAATAAAGAATAGCATAGTACAAATTCTGTAATTTATTTATTAAGCCAAAAAAAATAATTCTGAAACTAAAATTATACAATTTTTTATCTGGCAACAGTAAAAAATCATCTGGTTGTGAAATCACCACTAGAAGCATTATTAATCAAAATTCCATCATCCATGCAGGAGAAAGCCTGTTTTGGAATATGATAATATATGATATCATCATTTATCATTGTTCAAAGACATTTTTACCCAAAATTTGGCAAAGAACAACCACATTGCCAGAACATCAAACAGTGGGTGAAGTAGTTTCAGGACACAAACTGCTTGTGTAAGAAAACCAGCCTAGATGAACACCAGCCAAAACCAAAGTAGTTGAAAAAATTCATGAAGCATTTTTACAGAGTCTCACAAAATCAGTGGATTATGCAAATTCTGAATTCAATGTGCCTGATGTAAAAGTGTGGCATGTGTTATGGAAACATCTACAGTTCCAGCGGTACACCTTTCAGATGGTGCAAGCGTTAAAAACCTTACAAAAAACTGTTGTATAAAGCTTTTTGTGAGAATTTGCAAGATAAGCTGAAGGTAGATGTGTATTTAAGGATAAAGCCACTTTTCATGTTTCTGGCAAAGTTAATCCCCATAATTTATGATTTCAAGGGACGAAAAATCCACATGGTATAATGGAACATAGGCATGATTCTCCAAAGGTAAACATTTTCTATCCCATTTCTAACAGTTGTCTTTTTAGTTCTTTTTCCTTTATGGAAAAATCAATTAACAGGTGGATTTACCAAAATATGCTATCAGAGTGGCTGTTCTCTCCAGTTCTCGGCTTCATTCTGCAGCAAGATGATGCTTCACCACATAGGCATAAAAACATATGTTAGTACTTGAATGATAGTCTATGCCATCACTGGATTTGGCATGCTGGGTCAAACAAAATGCTGTTGCTTTGTTAGCCACCAAGAACCCCAGATCTAAACCCTTCTTTTTTTTCATATGGGGTTATGTTAAAGACAAAGTGTTATATTATGTAGGAAATGGACTTGAAAGAAATTCTGGTCAAATTCAAAGTTTAGAGCTTTATGATGATGTTCCTGGAAATGAAATAACTTTATTTTAACAAATAGTGCAGGACTATATGAATGAATCTAGAACATTGTGCGTGTTAAAGAAAGAGAGGGAAAGAAAGACATTCTCTGAAAATAAGCCCTAATGCAACTTTTGGAGCCAAGATTAATATGATACTCAGTCTTATTTTTAGAGAATTAAGGTAATCATAAAATAATCTCTGAATGTTCTATGACTTGTGTTTATTAGGTAAGTTTTTAAAGACTATTATTTATTTAATTTTGTCTGTTGTAAAAAATTCCCATCTCATGAATTTTTCTTTTCCTTCCTTTTTTCCTCCCTTTCCTATAAATTTTATGCATTTAAAATGTACACTGTTCATTCTCACATTATTCCAAACTTTTGCTTTAATATTGTTATGAAATGTCCAGGTGCGATGAGATAGCTTCTCCGCAAAGCAGTTTTAGGGTTGCTATCACATGGCAAGAGAAATTAGGGTTGCCACATTTGGCAAGAAATAGCCCATTTGGCGCCAAAATTGCCAATATGCCAAGGATGAATGGAGAATTTTCTGGAATGAATTCTTACCGGTTTAGCCCAGAATGTTCTCGAACACAAGCTGAAAGCTATATAAACACAACTGGTCTGCAGTCAGTTAGTGTGTGTGTCTCGTCTAGCGAGTCAGTCCGTGTCGATCGAGTTGACAGCCAGGCAGTGAGTGTCGAGTGCACCGAAGGAGTCTGTTAGTGTATCTCGGTTAGTGCATCGTCGAGGGAGCGTGTTGAGCTCCGGAAACGACTGAACCGAAGAGTCGGGAGCTGTGCTCGTTTGTCGTCGAGTGCATCAGGAGTTGTAGCCTGGAGAGTCTCAAGAGTGCGTGGAGTTCCGAGAACGACCAAACAAAGTCAGGAGCTGTACTCTGATGCTTTGCAGCGAAGCTCTCTCCACTGTTATAGCCTGATAACCTGAAGGCTGTGTCGCTGATTGTGTCAGCGTGTTTATAGCAGTTCTTCGACGACCGTAACGTGATTTTGGAGCTGTTCTGATTAGTACTGGCTAAATAAAGTGTGTTTTGATACTTCATCAAGTGTCGTCGTTATTCACTCTAAATCTACGACCCCGTATGAACGTGAAGGAAGAAAATAACGCAACAACTGGTGTCAGAAGAGAAAAACGTAACAATATTAAAACCAATTAATTACTTTTAAAGTAATATGACGTCAGCAATTACATCATCCACAACATAAAATTCCATAAAATATCGTAAACAATAAAATCTTTATTCCAAATAAAAATGCAAAATTAAATTTATTTTTTAATATTTAGAAGCCATAAATAATATTTAGAACACGGAATTTATGCATAATAAAATGCATTATTTTTTAAATAAAATTACAACAAAGTATCGTTACCATAAATAACTTGTCTAGCAATGGGTTTATCATAAGTCATATTGTTCGCCAAAAATCCATGCAACCGTCTATCAAAGTAGCATCAAACATTGCTCCAACGTTTAGTTGGATTAAAATATTATGCAAATTGAATATCGAATTAAAAACCATCATAACGAATGTTTAAAAGAATAAACCCTGCTTTCCCGCAGTCAGTCAGTAATGTCTCATTTAGATGGTGAGTAAGTGCCTCATCTAGAGTGCGAGATAGTGTGTCTCATCTAGTTAGTCCGTGCATAGACAATCGAGTTGACAGCTGGCCAGCGAGTACCGAGTGGGTTGTTGAGTGCATCAAAGAGTCTATTAGTGTCGAGAGAGAGTGTGTTAAGCTCCGGGAATGACTGAACCGAAGTGTCGGGAGCTGTGCTCTGTGTGTCGTCGAGTTTGTAGCGTGGAGAGTCTCGAGAGTATGTGGAGTTCCGAGAACGACCGAGCAGAGTCGAAGCTGTACTCTGGTGCTTTCCAGTGAAGCGTTTCCATCGTTATTGCATGACAACATGAAGGCTGTGTCGCTGATTGTTCCAGCATGTTTATAGTAGATCTTTGACGACTGTAAAAGTGTTTTGGAGCTGTCCTGATTGATATTGATAAATAAAGTGTTGTCGTCGTTATTCACTCCAAATCGACACAAGTCCCATATGAATGTAAAAGAAGAAAATAACGTAACAACTAGTGTCAGAAAATAATGCAACAACTGGTGTCAGAAAAGAAAATAACATAACAATTGATGTCAGAAGTGGGATTTGTGAGTGAATGCCAATGACCCGCCTGCAGAGGAAAACCATGGTGGAGGAGGGACATTTTAGCCGAGATAAAAGCCGGATATGATGAGATAATAGCTGGATATAAAGAGATGACATCTGAGATCAAAGCCGGCCTGGAAGAGAAGAAAGTGCGACGAGAAGAAATAAATGTCGGCCAAGAAAAGGTGCAAGAGCAACTCCAACAGGTGAAAGTTTACGGAAGATATTGGAGGCATAAAAGATGATGAGGAAATGAGAGAAGTGGTAGTTGAAGAATCAAAGGATGTAGAAATGAAGGAAGTAGCTAATGAACTATCTCAGAAAGATCCAGAAATGAAGGACGAAATATCTAACGAGATTAAAGACAGAGATCGAAAAGATGAAGACATTAAGATCGGGAAAGAAGCTTTTGATTCTCAAGTGCCTGAAGTGGAAGAAAGTGAAAATGCGACTGTTAAGTTTGTTGAAACTGATAGTGAAATTATGAAGTCACGGTTAGCAAGTGTTGAACCATCTGAAAGTGCATGTGATGCAGAGATGGGAGAAGCTGATGTACAGCTTAAGCAGTGTACTCCAGTATTGCAAGAAAATTCACTCACCTCGCAAATTATGTGTGCGTCTCATTGTGCAGATTTTTCAGACAAGGACTTGATTTTAAAGCTGGATACTTGTGTTTGTGAAGAATCAGGTTCCATTCGCTGACTTTGATGCAGACATCTGGAAGTTGGTTCTCAAGAAAAGGAGGAAAATGTACATGTACCAATTGCTAAAAATACCGAAGGGAACTGTATGCATGCTGCGAATGAACTACAGAGTGGTGAACAAACAGTTTCACATCTTCCTGTGGATGACAAGTCTGAAAGGACTGAATCTTGAGATTGTGATATGCAAAACATAAGTATATCTGAGAACTGCAAGGGAAAAGTGTTTGACACTGGTATAATTTAATGAAAAGACTGAAACTGAAATTCATTATGAGTTTTAATTTGTATAATATAAAATTTTTATGTGTTTCATTTGTGCATGTAACTTTAATATAGTGTAAATATGTGTTTCTTTAGTTATGTTTGTTTTATGTTTTGTTTGTATCGAAGTTGGATTCTGACCAAGGGTTGTACTTCTGGAAGAACCTTCTGGAATGGATTTTTACCAGTTTATCTCAGAATGTTTTGAACACAAGCCAAAAGCTATATAAACCCTGCTGGTCCGCAGTCAATGGGAGTATGTGCCTCGAGAGTGCAAGATAGTTAGTCTCGAGTTAGTCAGTCCGTGTGGAGTCGATCGAGTTGACAGCCATTCAGCGAGTGCATCGAAGAGTCTCTCAGTGTATCGTGGTTAGTGCATCGTTGAGAGAGTGTGTTAAGCTCCGGGAACGACTGAACCGAAGAGTCGGGAGCTGTGCTCTGTGTGTTGTCGAGTCCATTGCGAGTTGTATCGTGGAGAGTCTTGAGGGTATGTGGAGTTCCGAGAACAACCGAGCAAAGTCGGGAGCTGTACTCTGATGCTTTGTAGTGAAGCTGTCTCTACCGTTGTTGCCTGATAGTATGAAGGCTGTGTCGCTGAGTTTCAGCATGTTTATAGTAGATCTTCTACGACTGTAAAAAGTGACTTTGGAGCTGTCCTGATGAATGTTGGCTAAATAAAGTGTGTTTCGATATTTCATCAAGTGCTGTCGTCATTATTTACTCCAAATCTTCACGAACCCCATATGAAAGTGAAGGAAGAAAATAACGTAACAATTGGTGTCAGAAGAGAAAAATGTAACAATTGGTGTTAGAAGAAAAACGCAACAGTATTATTGTTATTAGTGCATAGCTGTGTAGAGAAACTACAGTATGATCAGAAAATGCTTCATATAAGACAAAATATGACATACTGACAGAGATATGTATTTTGAAATGGAGGTAAAAATGATTGTAATTCCAAACTACTATATAAGCCCTGTGGTTGAATATGCAGCATGTTTAATAGATAGTACCATTTTAGAGTATCCTATCATTCACTAGCATGGCATTCATTCAGTGAGTGCTCAAATTCTTTTGGTTGTGTGTGGTATTGATGAAAGTTCTCAATTCATCCTTACTGAAATGTTATGCAATTTTATGACTGAAGCTACAGTGTCTCACAAAAGTGATGGTACATTTGTGCTTTACGAAAGGAAACTGTTGTAAAATAAATTAAAAAAACATGTAAAAATTTTTTGTGGGTGTGTTTCATACTTAAATTTAGTAACAATTATTACATAACATACATTTTCTCAAAATATTAAAATTGTAATTTAATAAAAACACAATTGTTTAGAACGGAGCAAAAAATGGCTCACATAAGTGATTGGATACTCACGTAAGTGATGGGGCATTTACTTTTCCATCAAATATTTATCCAAAAATTTTACTTCTTAAAATGTTTTAATATTTTGTTGGATTTCCTTTTACTTTTAAAACGTGAATTTAATCTTCTTGGGATGGATTTCGACTAATTTTTTTGTGATTTCTGGAGTGATTTTAACCCTATTTTTCTTGAACACACCATTTCTTCAAAACAACAATCAAAAGTTGTTTTGAAGAAATGGTGTGTTTGCGAATTCTTGATTCCAATTCTTGCCAAATATTCTCTATGAGATTTAAGTCTGGAGATTATGGTGGTGTTTTTATTATTTCAGGACAGTTATACAGCAGCCAGAGTCTAACGTTCAAAGCAGTGTGCTTGGGGTCATTGTCCTGGTAGAATTTAAAATCGTTATGAAGGATCAATTTTCGTGCTGAAGATTTCAAATTTTGATTTAAAATGTCAATATACTTGTACTGATCCATTATACTGTCAATAAAAACAAGATTACCAACTCCAGCGGACGACATACACCCCCATACCATAACTCCTCCTCCACCATGTTTTACTGTTGGCACCAAGTTCTGTTTGCGAAATTCTTCCTGAGTTTTCTCCACACCAAGATTCTACCGTCAGAACCAAATATATTAAATTTACTCTCATCAGCAAATATAACTTCATTCCAGTAATCAGAATTCTTATTTATGTTGGATTTTGGGAAAGCCAGTCTGAGTTTTCTATTCTTTTCACTTACGAAGAATTTTTTCCCGGCTGCTCTACCGTGATATCCAGCAGATCGAATTATTTTTCTAATAGTGTCAGTATTAACAATTACTCCATATAATGCTTGTAAATCAGAAGCAACTTTAGGAGCACTCATTCTTGGATTTTTTTTAATATTTGGAACAATAATTCGCTTTATTCCATAGGATAGCTTGATGGTCGGCCAGGTCTTCTTTTATCCTGAATCATATGATTCTTTTTATATCATTTAATGATATCGAAAACTGTTGAATGACTGATGTTAACTGTTTCAGCAGTTTCTCTTAATACATTTTTTCCACGTTCAATATGCAAATTAATAACTAATTTTCGAATTTCAGGCAAAGTTTCTTTTCGTTTAGCATTCATGGCTGCACACAGCTAAAAAAACACAAAAATTCCAAAACAAACTGGAGAGAAAGACTGCAAACGATTTTATAAATTATTGCCAATTGCTTTTGAGTAAAAATAAAAAACCCCAAAAATACTTTTATTGTAGTACGTAGTAGTATCTAATGGTGTCCCATCACTTATGTGAACCATTTTTTGCTCCGTTCTAAACAATTGTATTTTTATTAAATTACTTTTTTAATATTTTGTTAGAAAATGTATGTTATGTAATAATTGTTACTAAACTTAAGTATGAAACACACCCATAAAAAATTTTACATGTTTTTTTAAATTTATTTTATTACAGTTTCCTTTTGTAAAGCACAAGTGTCCCATCACTTTTGTGAGACACTATATGTCTTTTGACAATTGTTTTGGTTCTCCATTCTCAAGTCAACCAGTCAGTTTACTTTCTTGTGTTTTCAACCCATAGTTGTAGCAACATACATACCTTTTGTATCGGTGAGATGGAAAGAACATGTAGTATCTGTAGGCCTATGATTAAAAGCCTCTAGTAAACTTATCTATTCAGCAAAAAAGTGAACAGTATTTCAAAGCCATTTTCAGTTTTAATTTTTAATTTGAAACAAAACTAAAAGCAAAGACTGTGCCCTTAAGTAAGTCTCAAAAGATAGCTTAACTAACTAACTTTTCTCCTTTTTATTACACTTTAAAAATAAACCTTATTACACTACTTATTATTACACTACTTTATTACACTACTATTACTTTATTACATTACTTATTTATTACACTTTCTCCTTTTAAAACAAATAATGATATTGAAAACTGCAAAGGTTTGCATAACTAGTATCTCTGAATTTGTAGCATTATGACAAAATTTTCATGGTATTGCATATTTTGTTTAATGTGTATTATAGCTGTGGAAATTAGAACTGTTACTAATTATGCAACTGTCTTAAATTTAAAGAAAAGAGTACCAGATGTCTCATTTTAAGTCAGAATTAAAAAATGATTGATGTTAATGAGTGAATATGAAGACATGTTGAAAGTAGATATTTTTTATACCAGTTTAACGAAACTTTTAAGTGCATAATGCTTAAAAGGTATCACAAGTGCTAGTGAATACACTGATAATGAAAAACTAAAAGAATTTTTTTATTGATTTATAGATGTGGTTAATAACACATGGTAACGTATTATTTGCATGCATTAGTAATTCAAAAACTCCATGTGATTCATTTTATTTTGCGATAGTTGTCTTTAAAGTGAAAAAGTCAATATATACGTGTTTATATATATATATATATATCTGGTTGTAATGAAGGTTTTCCACCAAACAATAAAGTTAGGAAGAAATAAAATATGAAAGCAGTACCTTAAGTGTGGGTAGTAATCACCACACAAATCTATGATTTTCTGCCAGTATTTTGATAGTTTTTCAAAGCTTTCGGCCCAAAAACTTAATGGCTGTGAGTCCAAAAACAGATTAACCTCATTTCGGATGTCCTGTACAAAACGGAAGATATTGCCAGCAAGGTGTAGCTGCAGGTGTGAAAAAAGTAGAAGTCCAAGGGAGCAATGTTGGGCTATATGGTGGGTGTAGCAAAAGATCCCATTCAAATCTGTACAGAGTCCAGCTGGTGAAATCAGATTGTGGTCTTGCATTATCTTGATGGAACATTACCTTTTTGCACCAGAACTCAGTTCAACGTTCTTCTGTGATAATAGCGTCAACACGAACTAGCATCTTGCTGCACACTTTACTGTTGAGGGTTTTGTTTTTTTCCAGATACTGTTTATGGAAAATAAATACTACGGTAGTCCCATCAGATACAAAGTATGATCTTTTTGTTAGTGAAATTGTGCTTTGCCACGCTGTTGACAGGCTGACTGGTCACAGACCAACCCCCTTTTTGGCCTATGTAGTTGAAGTAAATCTACTTTTCATCACAAGTGACGATCCACTCCAAAATTTTGTCAATGCATCAATATTCAAGCAGATTAGTGCAGGCTCGAACACATTTGTCCTTATCTGCTTGAGTCAGCTCATGCGGTACCTAGCGATTGAACTTACAGGTCAAGTTTGCAATGTATAGTGTGGCTAATGGACATGGCACTAATATATAACTCCTTAGCAAAGCTCTCATGTGGTTGCATACTGATCTTCTTTCACAAGTTCTCGCAGGTGGCTTGTATCGACATCAGTATGCTGGCCAGAGCACTTTGTTTCTTCAATGTCATAGTTTGATAGCATGATAGTTCCATTTCAGACACCTTGTGCTTAATGATAACAGTATTGTTTTACAGATTTCATAACACAGTCTCTTTCTTTCGAATGCCAGAAATCGTTTGGCAAAATGTGATTAAACATGCCAACGCAAACTGTTTGCACAGATGATATTTGCAATAGCAGGAAACTTTCGTTAAATTCTGATATATTAAATATGCAGATTCTTTTATCTTTCATGCTTATTTTTATCATACAGACTTTATCACTTTTTGTTGCATTTAACTTCTAATTAACTACAAATTTCTTAAAATTTAATTTGCATATTTTTATAGAAATGATCAAGAACATGAAGTTTTTCCATGATAAAAAAATTTTTTTTTCATTACATTTTTTTAGATGTACCAAGAAAAGTTTTATTTCGAGGGGCTACATGATCTAAATACGCAAAGTAGTCAACATACTTACTTGCCAGTGTATTTTGGAAATGTATGCCTGAGATTTTTGCCTGTAAGTACAATTTTTTTATTGTGTGCAGTTTATAATTTTTTTTAATTTATTTTTTTTAATGCTTTTTATTTTGTGTGTTCTCTGCAGGTTATGGATATTGTTATACACAGATTTCTAGAGCTTCCTACTGTTCCAATGTCTGTTGAGGGTTTGCTTGATCAGCTAGGATGTTTGTACAAATTTCATGGTATATGTGAAATTTTAATATATTATTCTGCATAAGAATCATTATTACAAATTATAATTTAACTGTGAATGACACAAAGGTCAGAGTGGCTTACTCTAGCATGTAACTTTCAATTTCCCAAGAATTTTGTTTAAAACCTATTTCTGTGCTATTATTGATAGTTAATAATACATATTTTATGTGTTATTGTGTATTTTATGTTGTAGCCTTATGTGAAAACAAACCAGAGAAAAAAAAATTTTTTTAAAAAGAGAAATTCTATTAATAGTGCTATTCTGTATTTGTCAGTAGCTAGATTTATATCCTTTGTTCATTATTTTTCTACCTTTGAATATTACATTTTTAAATTAATTATGCATTTTGAATTTATACTTATGTCACCAACTTATATGCAGCCAGTTATAAATGTTGCATCAAATTCTTGGGTGACACATTATATTTTCACACGGTCCATACAAAACCGGAATTTAATTTCTAAAATCAGAAGTGCCAGAGCCTTACAAGAGGGCATCAAGAGGAAAAATAATAAATAAACATTGTAAATAAAATAAAAAATAAATAAAATTACTATTAAAATAATAAGAAAGTAATGATTAAAATTAAAAAATTCAATACAAAATTCAATTCAAAAATCTGAAAGCTTCAGATTTTATATTATGCCAAAAAGTGGGGTGTTCACCCCCCCCCCCGTTGTTTGTTACTTTTTGTTAAATCTCGGTTCGTACATTTAAACCATAAAATTCATTCAAAGCTTCGCAAATAATTTTAAAATGAGCCTACCTTCGAATATCGATGCACAGTCTATGTTGGAGATAATTGTTCACACTCCCTCCTCTGTACATGTTTGCCATTGGTCACTTAAATCATGGATTTCTTATCAAAATCAAGTTTTAAAAATATAAAAGAAAAAACAATTCCAAGTCAGGCTTCCAGATTCCTATTCTAGTGGAGGACAATTATTGAAATTGTGTCTCTAAACCTTGTTTTTTTTTTTTTTTTTTTTTTCCCAGCATGAGAAACATTATACAGATTCTTTTATTTAATTTTTTTTAAATATGCCTGGCTTTCTAATATTTGGTGGTAACAATTTGAAAAGTGAACCAACTTTATAGTGAATTAACACAAAATGCCAAAACGAAATTAATAGCCCTTTTGGGCTATTAATTTAATAAATATAAAGAGACAAACAAAAATTCAGCATTTTATGAAATTAATGATGAATAATTAAAATGAAATACTGAACTTTATCTTATTTGGGGCTGCAGCTGGAATTACAATTTCATAAGGAAAACAAAGAAGTGGCTTAGCCAGATTCTGATTGAATTTAAGCCCTGAATAAGCAGTATAATTTTATATTTCAAAGGATGATTTAAAAAAGCACACCAATGAGAAAAGGTAAAATGGTTATAGAGTCATTAATAAGAATAGAGAGAGTATTAGAAAACAGCATAATTTGACTGCTGCAGCCATGACCATAAGCACAAACATGCATGCTCCATGTAGACCAGTTTATTCATGAAATAGGGCAGATGGATATAATCACGTAGTAGGGATTTTTTTTTTTTTTTTTTTTTTTTTTCCTGTGTTTATTTTCATAGTGTTCAAAGAGCACAGAATTAAGGCAAAAATTACTAATTTTTTTTTTAATTTAAGCTGAAATATGATCATGATTTGTAATTAACTATTTCATTTCATGTGTTTAATTTTGTGCATTTACATATTTATTCATATATTGGTAAAAATACAAGTTTTTCAGAACATAATTTTGATATATTAACATAATTAATAATAAATTATAATAAATAATTGTTTTTTGTATAACAATTTTGATTATAATAATTACTATATATATTTTTTTATTTTTGATCTTAAATGTTATTACATGCTGGGAAAAAAAATTTCTGTACAATTCAAACTTGTGTTTTCAAAGTTTGATTGTAGTAACTGTTAACAAAATTTAACATGACATTATCATTATCTAATTAACTTATCACATATTCTTTATTTTAATTTCAGATCGCCCTGTGACATATCTGTATAATACTTTGCACTATTATGAGCAAAAGCTAAAAGACCGTCCACCTATGAAGAAAAAACTAGTATCTGCTATCATTGGTTTGTATTTCTTATATAAATGTGTAAATGTATGCAATCATATAAAATAACATTTGTTCTTTTGTGTTTTTTATTTTCAACTTGTATTAATAACTAGTATATTTATAAAAAATTGTTCAATTCTTAGGTTCCTTGAAAGATATACGTCCTAAAGGCTGGGCTCTTAGTGAAGGATATCTTAATTATATGGCAAAAAATTCAGATGATTTAGATTGGATACCAGAACATGACTACTATGTGAAATTAATTGGCCGTTTAGTAGATAGTATCCTTTTCTGTTGCCTTGTGATTTATTTTCATGTTACTATAATAGTTGGGGTTTTAAAAAACTGAAATTTTCTTTATATATCATTGTGGAAGCTTTGTTAATATTAAATTAATTTCTCTGTTGATAAAATGAAGCATATCAATTTTCTTAATAGATTTAATAAGATTCATATTAGTTCCATTTTAGCTATTACCAAATTAGCCAAGCTAAATTAAATTAAATTTTAAAGAGTTTTTATTTTTGGTTTCCAAATTTCAAGTTGCTGTCTTTGGAAAAACTTATGAATTTTTCTAAATCTGATTTAACAGAAATGTGTGATAATTTTTAACAATCATGGAAAAATTTGTAATTGAACAGCACATGAGACAGCTGATAGCTGAGCAATTAATCCTCAAGGGAGACAGTTATAGAGAAAGGATAAGTGATTTTTTTTTTTAATTTTGGGTTGAACTTCACTTAATGTAGTGTGGAATTAATATTCACCCTTGGAATATCAATAAAAATTAGAATCTTGACAAAAACATGCATGTATTTGCTTGATATGAATCTTGAAAACAAAATTTTCACCAAGACATGCTATACTGTGCATACAGTGCTTGGGATAAAACAGTTGCTGCTTTGTGTGAAGTTTCCCTCACACGTAATTTCATAAAATGACTATCTGAGTGTCAGGGTCATGTGATTTAACACCCATAAACTTTTCTTTAAGGTTTTTCTAAGTCTCTATTCTGTACCAAAAAGGTAAAAGTAATTCAAGCTCATAGAAAATATGCAATGAAAAATAGTTGATGTGATGCCTCAAATATGCCAAAATGTCATTCACAGTCGGATTCTCAATTGCAAGCTATGAAAAGCAGCTTTGGTGGCCATTTGAATGAAATGATGTTTCATTGTTAATGGTCATCAACTGTACTTTCAGTAGCTGATAAAAACTTACAGTGAAGGTCTTCCAGTCTTGAACTCTATCAAAAAAATATATATATAAAAGTCTACACATTTAGAAATAAATAGTAAAAAATAATAATCCCTCCTATCTCTCTCCCTTTTTTGGGGGGGGGACAAAGAAGTGACCTTTTTGATAAAATTTGGAAAATTTTCAAAATATTGCTACTTTGTTAAATGTAGTTAGATTTGCATATTCACATCGATTAAGCAGTTATTTTTTATTTATTAATGGAAAATTATGGTTGACAAATAGAAGAAATCTTCACACAATCTGTTGGAAGAGACTGACTGAATCAAATAACACATATAAAATCAATAACTGTTGAATCAAATAACACATATAAAAAAGAAGTCTGAAATGTTTCATTAAGTAATGAATCTGAAAAAAAATCTCAATCATATATCATAATATTATAAGAAAAAGGTGATAAAATATGGTTACAGTATAAGACTTATAGAATTTGGTGTTCTTTGGCAGGAACACAACCTTAGGAATTTGGTATCCAAACTCCTAAGGTTGCTATCACACATCCGTTTGTTTCAGAAGAACAACCATTTGGAACAATTTTTCTGCTTTGTCACAACAGCCAATCGCCATAGATAACTTTGGGGTTAACATGTAAAGGGAAAACTGGTTCTCCTTTACAAACAAGCTAATAGCATTCAAAGCTTATAGCTGAATGGTTGAAAATGAACTACTTGCAATATTTTTTAAAAGGAAGGAAAAACTCGCACGTTTTTCTTTCAATAGTAATCCAGGCAGAAAAATTGTCCAAAATAGTTGTTTGTATAAAACAAATGCATGTGTGATATGAGCCTAACACACTTACACAAAATTATCGTTAATCTGTAAGAAGCCTCGGAAAGGATAAAAAATAACCTTTTCTTTTTATTAAATCAGAACTTTCAATATAAATGGCACTTCTCGTGTTCACATAAGCAACCACAACTCATGACGATTTAACTGAACTTAACAGACAAAATTCAAATTAAAACTAAGACTGCACAAATGATTAAATGCAAGGTTAGCTCAAACTTTACACTTTAACAATTTAAATATCAGCTGCTATAATATGAAGCTGCAGAATTCTATTCTATCAGAGCTGCCAAAGCCTAGTAATATGGTCTTGAGAGGCAGAAGCACGCTCCGACTTATAATCCAGAAATTTCAGCTTAAATACTCTGAAATTAAATTTACATTCTGGTAGGGAAATGGAAGATAGAAGTAACAGTAAAGGTTTAAATCAAAAACTGAATGAATGTAAAATAATAATGTTAACCTAATAGACTAAAAAAATTAATTATAGCTTGTAGTGTCCAGCATTTATATTATTGGACAATAGATCTTCAAAAGATCTCATCTATAGAAAGATGTATTGAAAAAAAAAAAAAAAAAAAACATCATATGGCAGGAAATTGACATTTAAAATATAAAGATGAATCTTAGCCAGTTTTTCGGTTTTATCCAATCCTTCATGAATTACAATGCTTCATTCAACATTAAAAACTATTGCCTTAGATATTCATTGTTTTAGAACAGTTGTTTTGAGGAATCTGTAAGATAGGATTTTGGGCATTCCACATTCTGTTCGACTTAACTACACTGCATGTCTGCATGTCCGACTGCCGAGCCAGGTTCATGGGCTCAACCCTGTCCTTGCACCTTAGAGAAGGCTGGTGTCATTGCCCTTCAGTGACACTGGTTGTCAGTTTGCTTACCTACCAGTCACATGGGCTGCCTGTCACCCAAAAACATTACCCTGAAAACCCGGGACGCCACACCCAAGCAGAACCCAGGATGCCACTCTGGGCTAATAGAGCTTTGAGCTCTAGGACATGCCAGACCCATGGGCCAACTGATAAGCAATCTTTCTATGGCCTTTAGAACCACTAGGTTTGTTATTTGTATACCCCAATGGCCGAGACTGCCTAGGTACAGATCCTAGCCAGTAGCTTCGCAGAGTTCCCTGCGTTGACCCCCGGGGGAGGATATGAAAAAGAAGATACCACTATCTAAAAATGAAGTTCTGTATATACTCAAAAAACCATTGCTTTGATGTTGCATTTTTGCAATATTTTTAAAAATGCATATTTATACCAACAAAAATAAAATAACAATCTTACCTTTGGATGCCATTATACAGTCTGATGTTTCTAGAAGATTGGCTTGTCTTCATAATATCATTTGATTCATTGTGCTTTCTATAAGATTTACTCAAAATTAAAAGAAAAAACTTTGCAAAAAAGTAACAAAATGATAATTTATTTTTATAAAAATTTTAATGTGAGAGAAAGAGCTTTTCTTGCCAGAAACAATGAAGTACAGTATGCCCCCATCAAAAAAGGGTTCAGATAAAAAACATTATACAGAAAATGAAAAAAATTTGTTGACTAATGTTGCGAAAATGCAGCATCAGTCATTAATGGATTAATTATTTTAAATCATTCTACCAAGGATTATATCTCATCTTCATTTTAGTCAGAATTTAAATGAAAAAATTCAAATTAATTGTATAAAAAAAGCATGGATTAGGTTGCTAAAGTCTGTCAGCTTTCCCAAGTGTTGTGTATTTTCATGCCTGTGGCACACAAAGTAAAATTTCTAGACAAAATTCAGACTTAAATTGGCATTTGTGTTAATAAAAAATTATAGTGGTTTTTATTATTATTATTGTGGAAAGGAAATCAAATAAACTTAAGTTTAGTTTCTTCATAGTGTAAATTTTGTAAATATTTATTATAAATGATAGGAATTTATATTTAAATCTAACAGTCAAGCAAATAAAATTAACAAAAAATAAATTTATCATTTAAGTTGCTTTCAGTCATTTGGTGGAGCACTGTTGTGCTTGCTCATAATTTATTTTTTTACATTTCAAAAATTTGCCTTCTAACATTAATACTGATAAAATGTGTTTCTAATTAAACATATATGTATATAATTACAAAACAATTTAAAAAAAAACATAATATAATCATGGTTAGTATTTTTGCATATTAAGCTGCTGAAAAATTATTAGTAAAGACATAAAGTAAGAAATTTAGAACCAATTTTTCACAAAGACCAAAATTTAAAATTCATGAATAATAAATTTTAAATAATCCTATAAATGCAATAAAGAATTTAAATGTTAAAACCAAAACACTTCAAGCAAACAATATCCCAATTAAAAACATCAATGAAATTTAAAGAAAAAAAGAGCATAATAGAAGAGGGATTCAATCAACTTCATTGCCACTTCATTGGGAAGAGGAATATTGAAATTAATTGAAATCTCGCTTCCACAAAAAATCCTTGCTTTTCTGTATCCAGAATTAGCTGATGAACCATTTCAATGTATTTTAATAGCTCACCCGAAAAGTCTGGCCCCTCCCCAAACCAAGGGAAGAAAAAAAGTAAATTCTAAACTCTGAAATGGTTCATCAATTAATTCCCGATACAGAAAAGCAAGGATTTTTGTGGAAGAAAGATTTCAATTGATTTCAATATTCCTCTTCCCAATGAAGTTGATTGAATCCCTCTTCTATTATGCTCTTTTTTTCTTTAAATTTCATTGATTTTTTGAATTGGGATATTGCTTGTTTAAAGTGTTTTGGTTTTTACATTTATTAAATTCAAATTTGCATTTAAAGAATTATTTGAAATTTATTACTTATGAATTTAAATTTTTGGTATTTGTAAAAATTGGTTCTAAATTTCTGACTTTGAATATAAATTTTTATTTTTAAAAAAATGCCATTTTTCTATCCATAAGATTCTATGAATATTTATGTATGCTGATGGGGAAAATTTTTTTAATTATTATCATCATTATTATTATTTCCTTAATAAAATATCAGCACTTGGTGGAAAATCCCCATTTCCTCATACTGATTGGAGGTTTAATGAATTTCCTAATCCAGCTGCTCATGCACTACATGTAACTTGTATTGAACTTATGGCTTTACCTATTTCTACTAATGCTGTTGGAAATGCCTTGCTGGATATTATTCTGCGAGGGTAAGTTTGAGAATTATTTCTTAAAATATCTACTTTTGTAATAAAATTTTTATAGGTAATTGTTATAAATTATATTCTAATAATAATTCTTAAGGTAATAGCGATAAATTTTTAATTCTGTAGTATTTTCACCATACCCATTCTATAATGAGAATATACCTAACATTGTTATTGGGAAGGAAATACTTTATTTATTTTTTTTATTCCCCCCCTTCCTTTGAATAAAAAAATTTTCTTTGAGATTTTAAGAATTCTTTTATAAAGTTTTCAAAACATGATTTTAGAACATTTAGTGAGATTTTGAATTTTAAATCTTTCAGGATTATTTTTAATTTTTAAATGAATTATTTAAATATAATTGCCTGTTTACAGTAATCCTCCCTAGAAACAAACAACTCTAAATGATCCCTAAAATAATCACCCATGAAAGTGATGAAAATAAGTATTGGCATTTTGTGTCACTTTTCTAGGAGCTGAGTAGTAAAGTCACTGAACACTTGTAATTCAATTGCTTTTGTGTAATGTTTATGCAAAACAGTTTCCCTTAGAAAATCATCTGTGAAGGCATCTCTCCCCTTAGGCAGTTCGCTCTCATGTGCTTTGACAAAATCAAATGAACCAACCATCACTTGTAGTGGACAGTTACCTCTTCAACAAACCAAAATCATCAGGAACTGCTGATGACAGAGAGTAAACTGCATTTTTTTAAAATTTTTTATATGAACACTGTATTTTAGTATTTCAAAAGTTTTTGCTTTTAACTGACAAATTACACCTTTCATTATTCCTTTTCTGGAGTAGTTAATTCTTTTTAAAACTTAAATTTCGATTTAGAAGCCATATCAAATGAATACAGTTTCAAACTGTCATCTAGTTAACAAATCATACTTAATCCTCTCCTGCTGAAATGAAACAAAATAACAGTGTTATGGTACTTTTTTTTAAGTATGCAATTAACCCCCACCCTCGCAAATATTTAGAAAAGGCCTTAAAAATGTTAAAATATAATAAATTTTAAAAAAGAGAGAAAAAATAATGCAAAATTAACATATATAGTTTGTAATAACTTCTAATATTTTTAGGAAATTTAAAAGTCACTTTGTTAAATTTTATATTAAGTTGTTTCTACTGTGAAGGCTTAATATAACAATTAAGTTACATGTAAAATTCACATAAGTCATGCTTGTATAATTAATTGATTTTAAAAAAAGCATCTGAAAGGATTAGAAATTCAGCTTCAAATAAAGAATTATTTATATCTATATTTAAAGTCTACCTTTCAGTTAAGAGCAAGAATGTTAAGAGAGTCAGCTTTATTTGTATTTAAGCTTACTAAGTCACATCTTTCTCCCCCCCCCAGCTCATTACATATTTGAAAAAGTCATTTAATATTTCAGCAAAGTTTTTCTGATCACCCTCCTGTTTTGTTGTTTATTTTGAGCTTTATAAAAAGAAAAACTAATTATTTAAAGCTATGGTTCTGTAATTCTATTCCTGAATGATAGTTGAGTTTTTAATTTCTTCAGTAATTAAACGTTTGGCTTCTGAATGTTTTGCTATTGCTTCCTTTATAATGTGCAGTGTATTTATGAAACTTTTATTTCAGACGTACTGTAACTGCACATTCTAACATCTTGGCTTGGATGAATGCAGTTGGACTTGTTTTAACAGCCTTGCCTGTAAGTAATTTTCTGTAATCTGCAAAAAATAATTTTCCTTTTTGTTTGTTTACCTATTAGTATATTTCTTTCATAAAAATTAATTACCTGAGACTTTTATTTTAGTGGATTCACTTTAAAAATTCTCAAATAAAAAATTTTTTTGGAAAAAAATTTGAGTTGTGGAATAATTTTTCTGTAAATCTTATTAGAAAATTTAATTGGGTTCTATTATATAGGAGTGTGTATTGGAGCCTTTTTGAAAACCTCCTCCAAAAGTGATATTTTAGGGCATAAACTAACTTTGGTATGCTGGTATTAAGCTTAATGTATTTAAGATACAATAACACGCCGAACAAATATTAATTTAGAAATCAAACAACAAAAATCAGCGTTATATTTTCAAATTTTCACAGGACTAGTTTCGATGGTTTTACCGAACCATCATCCTCAGCTGCCAAAAGTAAAATGAACGAGATAAAATATAATGAAAAAGATAAGATAAGAAGGCCTGGACAGGAGATAAGCTACTACCGCCATCTGTTGATGAAGCAGCAGAACTAAAACATAATTTCCTTAAAGTCTAAAAGTAAAGGTGGATTGGAATTAAGGATCGTTAACTAGAACAGAAGGATTTTTTTGAATGTGAAATGCCTCTAGAAAATCCAGTTCCCCAATTGAAGATGTTTTTTGAATAATTTTGGTAGCAGAAAAATTGAAAGTGCGATTTTCGGACCAACCATGTTGGGCAACAGAAGACTTCTGTGTTTCCTTTTTTCTAACATATGCCTCATATTTCTTAACGCGAAATTTTAAGGCTCTCTTAGTTTGGCCAATGTAAATTAAGCCACACAGGCAAGGAATCCTGTAAACACCTCAGGAATTCATATCCAGAATGTGGTCCTTGAGTTAAACGGCTCGAAAGTTAAATTTCTGCAAAATACATGCAACTTTATAGCTAATTGATGGAAAGAAGGGAATGAAAACAGAATTTTTATAATGTCCTAAAACAAAAGTGTGCCTTTTGGTGTGTTCAGATGAGAATTTTTTAACTGCTTGATTAATAATGTTGGGTGAAAAGCCCCTGTCAATAGCTATTGCTTTTAAGTAATTTAGTTCTTCATCAAGAGATAGTTTGGAGGAGCAAACTTGAAGATCACAGAAAACATAGGAATAAAATGAAGCTAACTTTTGTTTAGTCGGATGATATGATTTGAAGTGTGATGGAAGGCAAACAGATGAAGGTTTACAGTAAACCGTAGTACTAAAGTTGGACGTGTTACGTGTGACCAGAATGTCCAGAAACGGAACAGAATTGCAAGTCTCAAGTTCAAATAGCAGGATCAATGGAACTCATTATTGAAAGTTTTTTTTTTAAATCATCTTTATTACCTTCAAATAGGGTAAAAGTATCATCTACATAGCGAAACCATACTGAGAAGTTTAAAGTATCAAACAATTTTGATTCATAATAATGCATGTAGATATCAGCCAGGATGGGACTGAGGGAGACTTCCCATGGCTAATCCCTCAGCTTACTTGTAATATTTATTTTGGAAAACAAAATGTGTATGTTTCAAACAGAGTGAGAGAAATTAGCTCATCAATTTCGATGCAAGAGAAATGAAATTCGCGAAGTCTGGTTTCTAGACATCTTAATGCACCCTCCACTGGAACATTGGTGAATAATGATTTTACATCAAAAGAAACCATGAGTAAATTTCTAGGAGAAATGTTTTTAACCTTTTTTACAAACTCTATTGAATTTTTTTATGGTGTAAAGATTATTGTCTAATAGACTTGAAAATCTAGAAACTAATTATTTAGCTAATGGATACGAGGCAGTACCTAAATTTGATACAATAGGGCGGAAAGGAATACCACTCTTATGAATTTTGGGAAGAGCATATAATCTGACACAATTCGCAACAGATGGGATAAGCAAATGTTTTAAGTTGCTTGAAATGATTTGTAAAGTTTTATTTTGACAGTTTTTATTTTTGACAAGTCCGAAGGTGAAGGATCTTTAGGGATCAGATTATGTGGTCCTTTGTTTAAGAGTTTAGTGACACCATCGATGTAAGTATTCTTATCCATAACGGCGATCTGGCCACCTTTGTCGGCCTTTGAAATGATAATATCCAGGTTAGAATGAATTTCGTGCATTGTAGCTCTTTCTCTCGCAGTTAGATTTGGTTTTAAAGGTTTATTATTGAATTTCACATTATGAGCAATAAGATGCCTAATCATTTCTTTCTGTAAATCTGAAACTTTATTGAACTTGAAAGCATTTTCAATAGGAGCCAAAATCTTTGGAATCAAGGGTTTAGAGGTTTGTGAGAAGTTAAAATTATATTTTAGAATTCTCTCTTGTTCTTCTGATAAACTAACATTAGAAATATTAACTATTGGCTTAATGTTTACAATGGGAAGATTTTTGAACTACTTGAACTGGAACACTGTAAAAGAAGTTTTTCGAATTTAACTGCAAGGATGTTTTTATGACGGTTAACTGCATTCTCCATTCTAGACCAAGATCTTCAAAGGCAGTGAATTTTGGATATGAATTAGTGAGTTCCAGATGAAGCTTATAGAGCTCATGTTCAATTTTGGATAACTGTTGACGTGTATCCCTTATGATGGACCGAAGTAAGGCTAGCTTGCAGCTTAACAGAATTCTTGAAACGCGACTGGAAGATTTTTGATTTAGTTATCTTTGCAGGAAGGAAAATTTATGTTCTTAAATGTGCGTTAAGTGACAGCAAGTATAATAAAAGTGAAATACTGAAATAAACTGTTCAAGCACGTTTTATACATCGTCTTCCCACAGTATCAACTAATGTAACTAAATATGGGAGGGGGGCAATAAGTTTAATCAGCAACTTTACATTCATCCTTAGGAGTCAGATTCAGGACTTATTTTACCCCTGACACATATCTGCTTGATGGCTATAATTATATCTGCAGAGAGCTGCAGTCAAACAAAACATTCTTGCTCACTAAGATTCCCCTCATTTTATGTTTCCAAATACTCATACCCTCATGCCGTCATTCTGTTTCACCCTGTTTTTAGCATTATTTGAATTTTCATAAGCTGTACTTTTAATTAATATATGTGATGATAAAACAGCATCCCCCCTACGATCAGAGCTAAAATTGGACTGGCTACGGTGCTTCTTAGTTTTTGTAATAAATCATAATTCTAGCCACAGTGCACCGAAGCCCTAAATAAGAAGGCTGTGGTACTTCTTTTATGTAACTGAATAACGATTTCAGTAGAAATTTTATCTAAAAAATTTTATTTTTAGCAATAAAATTATATTAAAAATCGCTTATTAAATTTATCTCTAAATTTAATGTAATTTTAATTATTTAATTACTTTAAACTTTATTTAGTTATTTCAATAAATAATAATTAATTATATAATTGATTTGTAATTGTAATTAATTCAATTAAATTGTAATTAATTAATTATATAATAATTATTGATTAAATAACAATTTATAAACATTAATTAAATAGCTGTTAATTAATTTGATAATAATTAATCATTTAATTTTAAAATTATTAATGAGTTTAATAGTCATTTTATTTATTTATTTACTCTTGTTAATCTTTACTGACAGTCTTCCATAGGGCTCCAGCACTTCTAATTTGAGAAATTAAGCCCTGTAGTAGGATATTCTAAATATATTCCTGCCTTTTGTTCTTTCAGGAGGCTTATTGGTCTGTTTTGAATGATCGCATATTAGAAGTTATGCAGTCTCCACTTCTTGCAAATCCATCTCCTGATATGGATCCATTTTTGATGTTTGATTTTGCAGGCAGCTATAACAGTATGACTGAACTCCCTTGCAGTTATCTTGTTGCACTCACTCATGCTGTTTGGTATCATGCTAGCATTGGACAGATTTGTACATTGACACAGTAAGTTAATTTATTCTGCCTTTGGTATATTTTTAGATCCTTTAATATTTTTAATGAACGTGTTTTAATAGTCAAATTAACTTAGAATGACAAATGAAGCACAACTGAAATATCAGATGCTTTGAAACAGTTTTCTTTTAGTGACATGTTCCAAGCTTAAGGGTATTATTTTTAATGTTTAGATTGTTGAAAGAAAAGTTTAAACCTGCTGTGAAGACTGAGGAACAATTTTTGTTCATCTGCCATTTAGTTGCTCCATTTTTACAGCGCTTTCATGTTGAAAGGACAAGATATGCAATGGAGGTAATGTTTATAAAATTGTAAAGGTGTTTAAAAATAATGTATTTTGTTAGAAATATTAGAATTTTTTTTTCCTGCTCTGACAATCCTTTTGTACGTATTTTTTAATATTTAGCATTTATGTTTTATGAAAGATGTGAAATGCTAAAAAATGAAAATGATATAAAAATTTCAAAGTTCTATACCTTTGTAGTTTTATAGCATTAACAATATTAAAATTATATTTGTAATTATCTAAGTTCTGCTTTTATTCTGAAAATTCATTCATTATAATCATACTTATATCGTTTTATATTCTTGGATATTATACTTTGTGATTTTGTTTTATAAATACTGCAAAAAAAATATTGCTAATCGAAGTTTGCAAGTAATATTCTTTTATTTGAAGAATGTATTTGAATGCATTCGTATTACTTAGGTAGGTGCTGTAATTTTATGTGGATGAATTTTTCATCAATTGAATGATTTTAATGCAATAAAAACACTAATTTTTTATGTGATATATTAATTAATAATTTTATTTACCAATTATTCTTTTGGCTGCATCCATCAACAAAATTATTGTAGCATAACTTTGTGATAGTTATAAAACTCTGTAGTAACATAGACTGTAACTGTCTAAATCAGGGCTGTCCAACTGGCGGCCCACGTGCTGTATACAGCCCGCCAAATTATTTTTACGGCCCACGAGTACATTTTACTATGAATAAATTTATGTTACTAAATTATTATTATTAATATTAAAATTATTTTACTATGTGAAAATTTAATTCTAATTTGAATTTAAAGTAGGTACTATTTAGTTTGCGTAACTTCACTTAACCTGGCTGAGTACAGCAGCAATCCGTTTAACGTCTGATGATGGTTGGCTCAACGTTGGCACCACATATTATATTTGTGGTTGGTTGTTGTTTACCTATGGTTGGCACACACTACCCTACGCTATTTGGTTGATTCATGCAATCGTACGAGCGCAGTCCTGTCTAGAATTTGTTGAGGGGTGACTGTGTTATAATATTATTAACTTAATTTCATATTTATTTATTAATTAAAATAATTATAGAATATGAGTGCTACTAATAAAAGAAAAATAGACCTCGAAAATCGAGAATTTTAAGATTGCTGGGAGATAGATTATTTATTTATTCTGAACAAGAATGGTAAACCACAGTGTTTGGAATGTTTACAAATCATAGCTGTGTGTAAAGAATATAACTTGAAGCACCATTATCTTCCCATGCATGAAAAAAAGTATCATTCATACACGCGAGACATGAAAATACCACTAGTGAAAAAAATGAAAAAGCAGCTGGATCATCAAACGATTTAAATGAAGAACCAAAATTTCAAGAAGCATCTGTAGCTGCATCATTTGAAGTTTGTTTAGAAATAGTAAAGGCAAAGAAGCCATTTTGGATAGAGAATTCATTAAAAAATGTGATTTATTTTGTGATCCAATTAATATTGATATCAACTCCATTGATCTTAAATATCAAATAGAATTATGCGACCTGCAGGCTGACCCATTTTTTACGTCTCGTGGAGTAACTGGAATAGAAATATTCAAATTTTTAGATAAAGAGAAATATCCCAAATTGAGAGATTTTGGACTTCAAATTGTATCAATGTTCGGAAGTATATATATCTGCGAGCATGCATATTCCAATGTGAAATATATAAAGTCAAAATATAGAAACAGTTTGAAAGACTGAAAGATTCCCCTCTTGAAGATATAATTAGACTTGCCACAACAAATATTGATGTGGACATAAAAGATATTGTTGCTAAACAATTACGGCCACAATGTTCTCATTAATATATTACGAATATTAAGGTTTTCTTTTTAGTATAAAGTCAAAATATAAAAACAGTTTGAAAGATTCCCCTCTTGACGATATAATTAGACTTGCCACAACAAATATTGATGTGGACATAAAAGATATTGTTCCTAAACAATTATGGCCACAATGTTCTCATTAATATATGAATAATTAAAAGTTTTCTTTTTAGTATAAATAAAATATTTTTTTTAAATTAACATAAACTGACTTTTCATTTATCAACCTTCTTGGCCACTGAAATGTTTGGTGAAGAAAATATGACCCGCGGGCTATGATAAGTTGGACATCGCTGGTCTAAATAATGGTTGAATATTGTTTTTGAAAATGATTTGAATAATGTTGAAAAATATGCATCTGTTGCTGTTTAACAGTCCTGAAATATCCATTTATGTTTATATTAGTGCAGCATATTTTGCTTTTAATATGCCATTATTTTTACTGCACAAAGAATAAATTTTTGTTGGTAAAATATTTTCTCTCTTAAGTGTAGCAGACTTTGTTCTTGTGTGAGGTTAAAAACTGTAGAAATTAGGAAAATTAGGAATTAATTGAAATCCATTTATCATTTTATGGTTAATATCTAAAAAATTCCAGCCTGCCCTTCCCCACCCTTTGTGTGTATTAAAAAATGTATTAGTATAGAGTCTTTCCAAAATTTGTGATCGTTTACATCATACAACAATGTGTATATCATCTACTATCCCTGGTGGTACTGCAACTATGTGAATCCTAAATTAATTGATAATGTACATGAGCTCACTCATACTCAGTTATGTGAGTGTTGCTATTTTACAAAATATAAGACTGCATTTTTTTATCTTTAAAATTTTTGTAACTACTTAAAAAGATAAGCAATTTAAAATCATTAACTGTATTTCTTAATGTTAACCTTTATTAGTTAAATATTTATTAATAATCTGATTAATTGATTCAATTTTGAATGCATTAAATGTGCAGTCTAACAGATAATTTTTGGAAACACTCACAGTATTATAATAAAGATTTTTTTAATGTCATATATTTCATTCATTGTAACATTTTTTTAAATTATAACAATAAATAGAGGTTGGGAATCAAAATGTTTATATTTTGGAATCTTAAAACATTTCTTGCAACCTAAATTTTTTGTGGTATAATATTCATAACTCGACAGGAATTTTGGGAAGAGGATGAATATCCAAAAGTGTAAGATTTCTTGTAATCTTAAAATATATCCTACAATAATATTTCTTTAGGATCAGTAATATTTTTTGAAGTATCAAAATCCTTCCAAGAATTTTTATTTTACCAAAGCAGTGCTAAGTTTTTTACTGCCCCTAATTTCTGAAACCTAATACAGCCACAGTAGTTGCCCTATGGCCTTGTAGTTATCTTGTTTAGAAAAGAGTGTTTTGGAATAGTAAATTAAAATTTTGTTCCAGATTATTTACATAATTGTTGTTAACTTTGTTACACTAGTTAATTTTTTTATCTATATTTTTAATCTTTTATATAATTTACTCTCATTGTATGCAAGTTTGGGTAATCTTTTATGCTAGTCATAAACTTAGGATCATAATAATGGCTTTAAATGTGAGTTCTTGAGGCACCTAGCAAGTATTATAAGTTTGTTTCAAAATCATAGCAAATAATAAAACTTTTTTTTTCTTTGCCTAAACAGGCCTGTCTAAGTCATAGGTGGCATTAAACTAACCAGTGCGCATGAAAATTCTATTGTTTTATTAACTCAATATTTTTAAGCCCTGTAATTGCTGAAAAAGTTATCATTTGTTTAAATTGCTGTAACCACTCTAAAACTGACCAGTATTTCTCAGAAAATAAATAAATATTTGTATTGAATGTCAGCCTTCTAAAGTGGCTATCTCTGCAAAAGACAAAAATCATCTGAAATCATGGATTTTCATTGTATTTTCATGAGAAATCATTGTCTTGACTACAATATGTATGTAAAAGAGTAATTGCACATATATTGTAATTTTAAGTATTTGAAAAGTTTCATGCTTTAGACAGAACTGTAATGTTTTCCTGATATTCTGACTTTATGTTTTGAAATTATGAATGACTCTCATTATGAAAACAAAAATTAGTTACGGATTTTGATTGTTTTGACTGTAGGCTTAATTCTTTTAAAACACTTTTTGATAACGTTGTTATTTATTGTAAACTAGTTTTGTGATTGGACATTCCTCTGTTTATAGATTACAGTAGAGCTGTATGAAATGTTAGAAGCAGTGGATAAAAATTGTGAGCAGTTGCGATACATTGATTCAGTTTGTGATTTATTGTATCCTTTAAGAAATTATTATTCGTGTAAATACAAGTGTACTTTTGTATAACTATATTTAAATATTTTTGTTAAGATGTTTTATCCATCAATTGCAAAATTGTGATTTTGCAAATAATTAATTTTTGAGGAATGTATTTTTAATTTATTTTTGCTATCATTTATTTCATTTTAATGTTATATCTGTATCAGATGAAAAATAAAATGGTCTGACATATAAAGACAACTGTGCATTTTCAAGGTGTTACACAAGGTTTCAAGCTGTTGTACAAGGGAAAAAACATTAATAAATAAGTATTCAAAGTCTTGGAGCAGGGTTTCTTAAAACTTTTTTCAGTCACAACCCCTTTTTGTCACTGAGATTTTTTTTTTATGACCCCCAGGACCCCATAATATTTTAAAAAATTTTGTGGGACCCCATAAGTACTGCGCAAATCCAACACACACGTAAGTGAAACTGTTAAATTTTCACTTGTACTGAAATATACTATTGCAATTTTAGGTCATTACCTTAAATTTCTAATTTTAAGACACAAAATAATGTGAAAATTTTAAATAAGTAACAGATGAAATGACAGCGTCACTTGCAAAGCAAGGAAAATTAACGTTTATATTATAAAAAGAATGCATTGAAACATTTTCGTTTTTTCCTTTGTCTGTATTGTCTTTATCTATTTTCAGATATATTGTGTAAAAATATTTGGTAATTGTAAAATTATTATAATAAGTTAAAGAAATACCAAAACTGCTAAAATTTTTGGCAACCCCCTGCTGCAGGTCTCGCGACCCCCTTGAGAGTTGCAACCCACAGTTTAAGAAACCCTGTCTTGGAGTATTGATAGTTTGTCTTAGGGTTAGAGCTTAAGTTTGTGACAGTGCCCAATGGAGCCTGTCTACAGTATTTCTCAGGTTTTGAGATAAATCGTAAATTTAGCCGGACCCCTAAATAAAACAGCTCGGGCATTTCTTTTATGTAAATGAACCATAATTTCAAAAAAAAAATTACGAATAAATATGCCTTAAAAATTTATTCTAGCTTCTGAATGCAGGCCTGTCTTTCCCTCAGACACAAACCTTGGACAGAGATTGAGACTTTTATGGGAAAAATATCCCCTGCCTACCTTCAAAGGCTTATTCTCCAGGAAGTGCAATCAATTTATGAGATTGGCTTAATTTTTCGTTCCTGAAAGCACTTAAAGTGATCACTGGTCATGCACAAGCCCCACTAGTGACTTCTTGCTACAAAGCTCCTATAGACTTTTTTAACAAAATAACCGAATGCAGGGGACCACTACTGCTATTTGTGTAGTTGAGTCCTACTTTATTCTTGAGTTATCAGATCGTATTCAGAGGAAATTTTGCAGGGCATCACAATCAGTCTTGTACTCTTCCCTCTTAATTTTCAAAGCTACACTTTTGTTAAAATTTCCTTCCATATCCACAAACTGTTCCTGATTTCACTGTTCTCCTTTGTGACACTAATCGTCTTATCTTTTTCCATTTGTGTGCTAAATGAAAAAGGTAAACTATTCTTTTTGAAGAAGGAAAAAAAAAAAAAGAATAGTTTCTGTATCAATCATCCCTTGAAATAGTACATTATATGTATAATCAAGGCTTAAAATCACATGGAGATCGGCTGTAGCTTCTGAGTGGAATTGTAATTTCAGCTATAGCTCCAAATAAGACGAGATCCAATAATTTATTTTTTATTTAACTATTTATAATTAATTTAATAAGTTATTAAATTTCTATTTATCTCTTTACATTTCTTTCAATTTATTAATTATTTTAATTTTTAGCCCAAATGCACTATTAAGTTAGAAACAGGATTTTGTGTTGAAAGGACAATAAAAATCTAAACTATTTTTCAAATTGTTGCCCACAAATATTATCACTCTGTATTGTATTTGAAGAAATTACATAATGAAGAATCTCACATAGTGAGAAAACGATGGTACCTACAGCCATCGAGATTTAAATAACATAGTTCTAGACCCGAACTTGCGAACCTGGAAGCCCGAATTTTGAATTTGTTTTATTAACAAACTCAATGATTTCAAAGTGAGCAATGGCAACACTATATGGGAAAAAAGATTTTTATCTCTAGCATGCAAGATTGTCTGTCGGAAATTCTAAAAATCTGCTGTTTTTAAATATTTTGTGATTTTGCTCTTAAATTGAATTTTATGAACCATAAGTGGGAAGAATATGATATTTAATAAATAAAGTTAACAGATAAAACGTTAATACTTTTTAGTATTAACATTTAGTATGCTACTAAAATGGCTTACCAAAAAAAAAAAAAAAAGAGAGAGAGAGAGAGCAAAGAAAACTGAGCATTGATATGATTAATTGAGATAAACCTGAAAAATATAAAAATGCTTCACAATTTTTGTAATTTTGCCATTGAACTGTATATGGCATAAGTATGAAGAAAATGATGCTTAATAATAAAACTGCAAAGACCAAAAAAAAAAAAAAAAAAGAGTGGGTTAGCAGGAGGGAATGTAACAGCAGCCTGGTAGACTGCAAGTTGAATGAAAGCATAAAAAAGCATAACAGATCCTTTTGGGTGTCTGTAAAAATCTGAAACTTTTCAGATTAATTTTTAATTATTTATTTACTTCTTTCCTACCTTCTTGACAGTCTTCCATAGGGCTCTGGCTCTTCTAATTTTAGGAATTAAGTTCTGCTTGGGATTCTGTTTCAGGTGATTGAAGGGCTGGTTGCATGTGGTTTTGCAGAAACCTCCATGTGTCTATCCTACTATACTGGATGACAGCTCTAGCGTGCTTTACCATGATTAAGTGATTTATTATGTACAAGAAAGGGAACTGTCTCACAACATATTCCTCATATGGTATGAATTTGATATGCTAAAGGTATTTTACAAAAGAAAAAAAAGTTTAAACATAAGGTAAAAGTAAAATAGAAAGAAAAAAAATTAATATCTTGTAGCATAAAATTAAAGAGATTGATGATAAATTATTTTCGTATATTTTTAAATATTAGGTTGGACATATAAGAAGAATATGGTTTATAGAACATTTTAAGATGGGGAAAAAATTATGTTTAAATCATAATGAAAATTTGAAAATTTAGGGCAGTGTTAAAAAAAATTTTTTTATAGTATTCAATTAAACATATAAAACATCTTCTCCAATTAGGAAATCCCATCAATCATGAAAGTTAGCAGAAATGTCACCAAACTTGCCCCAATCTTTAAAGCAGAATTTATTTTTTATTTAATTATGTAATTGTTCATCATTCATTCTTAATTTTTGTTAAAAAATAAACATGTACAAGTTACAGATATAGCATTTAAAAACTTGAATCTTTTATCATAATTTTTCTACCATTGTTTATCAGTTTTTTAATAAAATCATATATTGTGCTCATTACCTCATGCTTTTCTTGACACCTTCGAAAATACTCCACTGCAATCTGTTTTGCAGAAAGCAAGTCCCATAATCATTCTTCAAAATGTGAGGGAAAAGTGGATAAATAGCAGTTAACTACAAAAATTGGGTGTACATAAAACCTAAGTAAAGATCTTGTACTGTGTAATGACATTCGTTATGCTTATCCATTATTGGCACCAAGTCACACCATTTGGCAACAGTATATGTGCTTTATAAAGACTTACAAGTCTCTCTTATTCCCAGCTTTTCAAGGGGAAAATAGTTTTTTAAATTCTGAAATTTTCTGGTTGAATGCCAGATAGGTTTTTACTGTACCAATGTTTATATATCCAATAAAACTTAACCGCTGTATAACAAATCTTTTCTCCCTATTTTTTCTAAAACTATGGGTTGTAAAAGTATGGTTTTGGGGTTATTTTTTGTACTCTGAATGTATATAAAATTTTAAGAATTGATTCTTCTTGACTTTAAAAGTTACTAGTATATGTATATAAGCTGTTCATGATAAGACCCAAAATGTACCCAATTAAAAGATCCTATCTGATTCTTCTGCTATATAATGGTCTAATACCTGTATGTTGATAAGGAATTTTATCCAAGTATATCATGTAGTCTTTCTGATATTTATGGATATTCTGAGCCATGTATATTATGATTTGTGAAGTATGATATTTATTAAGTAGCATATGTGTATAGAAATGTGTAAGTAAGTATAATAGAAACTTATAAATAGTTGAAACAGGCTTTTTTATGTAACATTATGTCTTATTTAAAAGTTTTTGAATGGCATCAACATATTCAATATTTTCTACAAGACAATAAACGGTGGGTATCAGCTGTATGGAAGGTTTGCAGATTTTTTGCAGAAGCAGAAATTTTGTGTAGACTATAGCAAAACAAGGTATTGCGACAGGTTGCTTAAACAGAATATTTGTTCATCGTAAAACTTAGATCTTTTGATCAGTTTGTTGTGGTGGATGCTGTTACACATCAGCATTTCTGCTGGTAGGTGGTGCATGAATTTCTCAACAAAAGCAAAACTTTATCCTTTCCTACCCTGCATATTTACTTGACTTTATTGTACAACTTTTCTTTATCTTCTGAATAACAGTCAACTGGAAAGTTATTAGTTTCTCAATGCAAAATAAATTTGAAAATTCATTCTTATTATTAAGATATCTCAAAGAATGGGTTCCAGATATGCTTCGAGGATCCCTGTTATTGCTGTTAGAAGTTTATTGTTGCAAAAATGTATTTTGAGCATTGATGTGTTCCAGTACTATAGCAACACAAACTTTGGGCTTAAGAATCTAGTTCCTGAACTTTTGAATATATACTGGTCACATTTAGAAGTAATGACCTGGGAGAAATAATCTTCATCAGAGGCTGCTTTATATGTAATAGCTATACAGTGCTCTTGTGGCAACTACCTCTCTAAGATGAGCACTTCTAAAACTGAATAGTATTCTGTAAAACTATTATTTAATATCACTTCTCTGAGGTAACCACTTCTTAAGAAAACCAAAGTCCTTTAGAAAATACAAGTAATCATTTTAAAGAGGGTTTATAGTATACATATTATTCACATATTTGTTTTATAGTGTTTATGTATTACAAGCTTAAATCATTTGATTAAAGACACTGAAAACTTCTTTTATATATATATATTTTTTAATTTTAATGGCTTGTTTTTTCCTCTTTTATTTGAAAATTGCACAATATGAAGTACAGTCAAAAGTCGTTAATTCGGACACCCATAATCCGGAATGATCTATAATCCGGACCTCAAAGCTACAAACTTTCTACGCATGCGTCAATGCGACGTGTGTAAGACCTTTACGGCTGCAAATATGTGTGTGCGACGTTTACGCATGTGCGTTTAATGTATAACGGACGGTATAAGCTAAGCTAAAATTATCTAATTCAGTTAATGTTGCAGATTGTGTTGTTCCTTAATCTTTGAATTGGATCCAGCTTATTATTTTTTGCAGACTGTTAGAGCAAATTTATAAAAGTAAGCTTGAACTTTCGATTATGTCAAATAGAATTTTCGATATATATTTACTAATATGTAAAGGATCTACAAAGCGAAAGTATGTTTCGAAGTCTATTAAACAAAAAGTGGAATTGCTGCAAAAAATGGATAAAGGCATATCCTTTGTTTATCTAACCATTCCGAAATCTGTTTATCAATTTCACGCTGCTCTGCGGGGGGGGGACGTCGCGGCGTGCAATGAACTGGAAGTTGATCTGTCAGCACTATCCTTATCTTCAGGGCAGTGGTTTTTATTTTATTTGGCTTATAATTTCTTACTAAATGTAGTATTTCATCTCGATGTACTCCATCTTTGATATGATTTAAATCAAATTCCTCGTCATTATAATTCACTTCCGATAGCGAAGAAAGTAACACAGAGGTTATTGAAAACGAAAAAATTTTGATTGTCAAATTAGTCGGTATTCTCGACACAGCAATTATAGGACTTGAACAGCGGAACTTTGTAACTGAACAAGAAATTATGTCTGTTTATAGAATTAAAGAGAAAGTATTATAACATAAAAAATGAAGCAACTTAAACAACTTACATTGAAAAAATGTTTAATAAGTAAACAAATAATATTAAGCTCCTTTTTTTTTTTTTTTTTTTTTTTTTTTTTTTGTAAATTTTGATACCTTTTAGGTCTAATTGTTCTTTATTTCATAAATTACGGTTTCATAGTTTTAATTTTATAATTTTTGCATGCCATCTTACCAGATTTAAACTGATGATCTATAATCCGGAAAAATCGATAATTCGGAATCGCCGAAGTCCCGATGGGTCTGGATTAACGACTTTTGACTGTATTTTCAATTTAAGTATCAACTTTTTTTAAATGAACTAAAACATGAAAATGCTAATTGCATAAATGATATAAATTTAATGCATTTGAGGGGAATTATTTTTAGTGTGAAACTTATAATTATAAATGTAATTATTATAATCTAAAATTACTAACCTTGAAGTGTTATTTTCAAATTCCATGCATGATTTTAACTCATTTTCTTCTTTCCTTCAATATACAGTACGTCTTTTCATTTCTTTTGCATTTTTTGTATTGTTAAGTATCTTTACTTGTTCTTGGAGATCTGCATTTTTAGTACTTAGTGTACTTTTAATTTTCTTAACTATGTTATAGGTATCATATAAAATATATGTTTATAGGTGATTCAATTAAAAATGATGTGGAAAGGAGTATTCGAAACTTAAGACCTGCTATTCAACGTAAACTGAGGTTTATAACTCATCTCAATATAGAAGAAATGTCAGTAACATGAGCATTAATCGACTGTCATGATTGAATATGTATTATAAAGTTGTAAATATTCATTCATCTGCATGAAGTTGTTTTTAGCATTTTAAGAAACAGCAGTTTATATGATGGATCATCCTATGTGGACATTCAGTATTTCACCTGCAGATTTGCTCATATAACATATTTAAAATGATGTATATTATCTTTAGTGTCGTTTTTATTGTCTTATCATGAGATTTTTATATCAAAAACATTATTTTTGTATGAACTTTTCTTTACTGGAAAAATTTTTATAGGAACTAATGATAGTTCATGAACATTAAAAAGTTAGATGAAAGAATTTGAATAGTTTTTTTTTCGTGAAGTGCATATATATAGATATATATATATATATATATATATATATATTAATATTATCATGTAAAACATTACACTACCTGAGGACATTGGTTATATTCATTAGAAGCCATGAAGATGATGGCAGCAACAGTGACATTTTGAATGTTTGGAGATACGTAATGAGAGAGATACAAAACCTACAGTGTAGAAAGGAAAGGATAAGAATTTGCTGTTAGAACCTATCATCATTTATACCATAAGATCTCTGTGTCTAAATGCAGGTGTGAATAAGTTTGGAATGATCAGCACAGAAATTTAGATCAAGAGCATATAATTCTTTTTAATATTATTATAATAGTAATTATAAAGCTAAATTTATATAAAAAACAGCTAAATTTTAAAATATTTATTTTATAATACTTGAAGTATTATACTTAAGTATAATACTTAAATATATATAAGGTCAGTTTGAGAATAAATATAAATGCTGATTAACTTCTAAAGTAAAGAAAATATGGTCATAAACTGTTTTTGTTATTACATAATAACTAAGAAATTAAAATTAACTGCTTTGAATACATGTTAAGATACTTTTCTGTTATGCATCTGCTTGCTTTTGGGTGCCTATGGAAGAGACGCCAAACGCAAGACCTAATAAAAACACACATCAGAATCAACAGTAGTGCCACCAGGGCTATTGTTTATATGTATTTGTGTCTCTATAAACTATTCTTATAATTTGAAATTATTTACAATTTAAAAACCGACCAAAATAAGGGGCAGGTGCATAACAGAAAAGTACCCATGTTAAATATCAACTGCAGACACTGTTTTATTTAAATGATGGAACTAGATATTGAAAAGATACATGTAACATTAAAGTGATGTAAAATACAATATAGTTTTTAAGTGATATTTTTGAAAAGTTATTTATTAATACATATGTGTATCTTAGTCAGTTATTACATTTTAAATAGTGTTAAAAATTACAGTATGCAACAGAATCCAAATTGTAAAAACAACCTTGTATTTAGCGTAAGTATAATGAAACACTCAATCGATTTCGAGGGCAGCTAAAGGTCCCTCCTCATCAGGAGAAAGAAGAAAATAAAGGAGAAGGAGTCTCAGAAACACATGGTCCTTATCAGCACTGCACGTGGTTATAACTGGATTTATAATCAGAGTTGCACTGGCTGTCTACTTTTACTGAGCCAGGCTATCTGATCAAGCATAAGGACAAGAAAATTCGAAGTTAAAATAGGGTGCGAGGGGCAATGCACCTTCACGCTTAAAATCTGAACTTCAAATAATGGAAAGCAACCACTGAACTGATTTTATACCCTCTGGTAGTACCAACGTGAGGAGTAATGCCATCTATCGGCAAAAATAACTGAATTAAGATAGTAGAATTTTAAGGCATTAGGAAGGACTGATTGGACTCAAATCTTAACTAAACCTGCTAAATCTTTGTGAATGTGAAAAGCCTCAAGAAAATCCAATTCACATATGGAAGAAGATTTTTGGATAATTTTTGCAGACCCAAAGTCAAAATTATGGTTAAATGTCCAACTATGATATGCTATTGAAGACTTGTTAATTTCGCCTTTTCTGACATAAGATTCATGTTCCTTGATGCGAAACTTCAACGCTCTTTTTGTTTGGCCAATATATCTTAAACCACACTGACACGATATACTATAAATTCCCCAAGAATTCAAGTCAGAAACGCAATCTTTTAGAATCAAAGGGTGAATTTTATTAATAGGGGAGGAACCAACTTGAAAATTGAATTTCTGGAGAATCCGTGCAATTTTATAGCTAATGGAAGGATAAAATGGAAGCACGACAAGGTCATTAATATTATTTCTAACAGTGGAATGTCTTCTTTGATGGGAATCTGAAAATTTTTTAACGGCTTTATCAATAATCACGGGAGAAAATCCACGGTCAATCGCAACTGCTCTCAAATAATTAAGTTCATTGGTAAGCAAAGATTCAAAGGAACAAACTTTAAGCGCGTGGAATACATAATAGTAAAAAGAAGCCATTTTTTGCTTAACAGGGTGGCATGACTTGACATGGGGTTGTAAACAAACTGCAAAGGGTTTACGGTACAAAGTGATGCTAAAATCCGTTTCATTGCGGATTATAAGAATATCAAAGAAGGGGAGGGAATTGTTGGATTCAATTTCAAGAGTGAATTGGATGGCTAGATCAATTGAATTCATAATAGATAGAATCTCAAATAAATCCTCTTTATAACCGTCAAAAAGTGCGAAAGTGTCGTCAACATACCAAATCCAAAGACGAAAAGATAGTTTATCAAATAATTTCATCTCAAAATAGTGCATTTAAATGTCAGCAAGTACCAGACTGAGAGGATTACCCATAGCCAATCCTTCAACTTGACGAAAATATGCATTTTGGAAAACAAAGTGGGTTTGACTTAGAGAAACTTTAGTTAGCGAAACCAACTCATTAATTTCAGTATGTGTGAAGTGAAATTCCCGAAGCCTAGTTTCAAGACAATTTAATGCTCCTTTAACCGGAACATTAGTAAACAGTGATTTGACATCAAATGAAACCATAATGGAACGAAGTGGAGAAATATTTTAAAGTTTATCAATGACTTCAACAGAATTTTTTACAGTGTGAATATTGTTGGCAAGTAGAGGAGAAAATCTGGAAACTAAATATTTGGCCAAAGGATATGAAGCAATACCGATTGGAAACAATTGGTCGAAAAGGAATACCGGTTTTGTGGACTTTTGTAAGAGCATAAAGCCTAGCGCAATTAGTAATAGGTGGAATAAGTGATTTCTTCAACTGAGTTGGCAGAATGTGGGAAGATTTAATAGCACTTTTAACTTTTGTGAGGTCCGAAGTTGAAGGATCTTTAGGGATCGAGCAGTATGGGCCTTCATTTATCAGTTTAGAGACTCCAGTAATATATGTGTGTTTGTCCATAACAACGATCTGTCCGCCCTTATCAGCTTTAGAGATAATGATATTAGTATCAGAATGAATTTCACGTAAGATCTCATTCCTTTCTGCTAAGATTCGAATCCAAAGATTTGTTGTTAAAATTAACGTTATGAGTAATTAGGTAGCGGATTGTATCCTTCTGCGTTTCCGAAATTTTGGAGAATTTAAAGGCTTTCTCTATAGGGGCGATGATTTGAGGAATTGAAGGTTTAGATGTCTTTGAAAAGTGAAATTATATTTTAATACTTTTAACTGATCCTCCGAAAGATTCCTATCGGAGATATTAACGATGGTGGTAACGTTTACACTGGGAAGATCAGCTAGATAGGTGGGACTGTCCAACTGGTGTGTGAGTTTAAGGAATTTAGAAATAAGCACATTTTTATGCCGTTGACAAACGGTATCGGTTCTAGACCAGGATGTATGTTCAAATGAGGAAAAATTTTCAGTTGAATTAGCAATTTTTAAATGGAGGTAATATAATTCAAATTCAATTTTAGATAAACGTTAGCGTGTGTCCCTTATATAATATGACGAAGAAGTGCCAATTTGAATTTATGCAAAATTTTTGAAACGTGAATGGAAGCTTTAAGGCTACGTTTCACATGTATAAATTTGGGAATGATATTTTGATGTTTGCATTTAAGTAGAAACTGTAGATGATTCAAGAATTTCGTACGCTTAAGGCGTAACTTACAAAATCGGTTCCTGTCAGTGGACATATTGTGAAAAGGGTACAAGCAAGAAACAAGTGAACAAAAGAAATATAATTCCGAATTCCAAACAAGTAATTACTTATAACATGAAAAAACACCAATAAATAATGAAGACAATTTTCATCAACATATGACAAAAACATTCCAAAAGGAGAGAAACATCCAATACTGAAAACCAATAGCACCGTGGAAAGAAACAACGAAAGTCAAAATCGTGCACGTGGTAAACTGATAAAAAAAAGAATTTCCTCGAAAATGCCGGTTGATAGCATAAACCAAATCCGAAAAACTAATAGCGATGTGGAAAAAAGTAAATAAAATGGTGCATGTGGTAAAACAATAAACAGTAAAATATTCTCGAAAATCCCGGTTGATAGCACAAACTAGACTAGAAGAGAAACACGCTAATGTGACAATCCAAATCGTAAAAACAACCTTGTATTTAGCCTAAGTATAATGAAACACTCAATCGATTTCGAGGGCAGCTAAAGGTCCCTCCTCATCAGGAGAAAGAAGAAAATAAAGGAGAAGGAGTCTCAGAAACACATGGTCCTTATCAGCACTACACGTGGTTATAACTGGATTTTAATCAGAGTTGCACTGGCCGCCTACTGTTACTGAGCCAGACTATCTGATCAAGTATAAAGGACAAGAAAAATTAGCGAAGTTAAAATAGGGAGCGAGGGGCAAATGCACCTTCACGCTTAAAATCTGAACTTCAAATAATGGAAAGCAACCACTGAACCGATTTTTATACCCTCTGGTAGTACCAAACGCAAGGAGGTAACGCCATCTATTGGCAAAAATAACTGAATTAAGATAGTAGAATTTTAAAGGCATTAGGAAGGACTGGATTGGACTTCAAATCTTTAACTAAACCTGCTAAATCTTTGTGAATGTGAAAAGCCTCAAGAAAATCCAATTCACATATGGAAGAAGATTTTTGGATAATTTTTGCAGACCCAAAGTCAAAATTATGGTTAAATTTCCAACTATGATACGCTATTGAAGACTTGTTAATTTCGCCTTTTCTGACATAAGATTCATGTTCCTTGATGCGAAACTTTCAACGCTCTTTTGTTTGGCCAATATATCTTAAACCACACTGACATGATATACTATAAATTCCCCAAGAATTCAAGTCAGAAACGCAATCTTTTAGAATCAAAGGGTGAATTTTATTAATAGGGGAGGAACCAACTTGAAAATTGAATTTCTGGAGAATCCGTGCAATTTTATAGCTAACAGAAGGATAAAATGGAAGCACAACAAGGTCATTAATATTATTTCTAACAGTGGAATGTCTTCTTTGATGGGAA